TAATTAACATTTCCTCATAATTCTATATAGATGTTTCCGAGCAAATAATAGCTCGATTAAGGTCAAGTCAATACGTGTTTGGTTACAATCTTCCTTGGAATTTCATTTATGAATGAAGTTATATTGGTAGTTGTAGTTATATTGGAGGAATTTCATTTATAAATTGAAATTATTTTAATTAGCCACTTCAAAAAAAGGAGGAGGTACTCAATTTGACTGTATTTTTTTTTTTGTGTAGTTATTCCAATAGTTTTTCACTGGGTCCAGATTTTGATGATACTTTTTTTATGTGAAAGCTAGTGCTTGCCGTTTTGGTCCCATTTCAATTTTCAGCATAGTATTTGTCAGACTTAGGAGAAGGTTTAAGGTTTATTATGGAGGATCGCACTTTAATACGATTTTGACGCGATTTCAGAAAAGTATTTTTAGTGTTACTTATTATATTAAAATATCAATATCACAAATAATGAAATAAAAAACTTTTTTAAAAAATAGAACCGACTTCATACTTAAAAAAATTAATAATAATGTCAATTAATAACCTACAGAGTACGCCCGATTTAAATAACATTTTCTTGAATAAATCGCTCTTGACATTGACAGGATTATGTGAAATGCGCAGTTAAGTCATTATTAAAAGAAGAAGTAGTGGTTATATTATAGCATCATAAATCGTCTAATTACTGTCGTCACATTTAGGTCACATACGCTCGATGTAACATATTTTCATATATTGTAACTACGGACAACAAGCCGCGATGATGTAGGTAAAGATTGCCAAACGCACATCTCTCGCTCGTTGTGTGGTGTCGTCAAGGAAAAACATATGGTACTGCAATGTCATACGAAGTGTTTAACTTCTTTTTGTTTTAATGTAAGAAACGGATAAATATGTACACAATATAACAAGCGCTAAATTATATTTTTTCATGAAAAATTATTAAACGAATAAAAACGTTTTTACAAGCAACACCATGCCTTTGATACTTTGTTTGCTAAATCTCAACAATCCATTATAACTAAGGTCCTCTAAATTATAGGGTCGACCAAGTAGTGCGTATGAGACCACAAACAATTAAACTATATTCAAACCATCGACAATTTTTCGATCATTCTAAATAAAACAAGAAGGTTTGACACTCCTATCATAAATCACCCGTAATTGTGTTCTAGCTCAGACGAACGTGAGATATCATGGAGATATTTCGTGCCGCGAAGTATCTAGAGATGGGCTGATATTTATGGCCGCTCTAAGTTACTGTTTTTTGTATATGTAGGTATCTTACACCGATATAATGAAATGGAATCTCCTGACAATTCGTGCCGCATTGTTTTGTAAGTCACTTTCATTGGGATTTCGTGAAGATATATGAAGGAGAATGTCCTGGAAGCTAAGGGGAGTAGTTTAGTACTCCATCCAAATATAAACGTATAGCAAAGATGCGTAGTGAGTTTAAATAATGTTCCGTGTCTCATGAATAAAATTATACATAACCCTATATTAGTTAGGCTGGACATATTCGTTTTCTCTGTTCTCTTTCTTTTCTTCGTAGTCTTTTGTACATATGGCATATGACCCGGTTTTAGCCATCATAAAATTATAACCTAGTTTTCGCCATTTTGATCTTTGACATACAACACAGTTAACGGATAATGCAGCATTTTTAAAACTGTTCACGTATTTAGAACGCCTTGAAGTTTCGAACAGTCAAGAAGGGGGCACTGGCTAAAACCAGGGAGCAAATACAAGCGAAAACTAGTAAAGTGAACTATCGAGACGATCGAGTGGTTTTATGTAGTGACTGATATGAATAGTGAAGTTGAAGTTGGAGATTACATAATAAAATTACATGAAAATAAAGTTTATAATGTAAATAAAGTTGGATTGTGAATTTTAATTGGTGTTAATTTTTTTGCCCAAACCCTAGCACATAATAGTATAGTTATTATTACAAAGGTCTTCTTCTTCACATCTTATCAAAGAACAAGGGCGATCACAGTATTCTGTGGACCCTTTTTACATTGTACAGTCAACAGCACAGGCTATACAAAATTTTCAAGCGTCTCCAGTTGATCTTAAATTTCAATGCGTTGAAAGTAGAGTTTAAAATCAATTAAGGTTATTTGACATATTGTAGTAACCATATGTGCAGCCGTGTGTACCAAATCACAATGAATATATACGACCAAGAAGTCTTATGTAAAGTCTTTGGTTACTTATTTAAGTTTATGGTATTATGGCAATGAATTACGATTGCGTCGTTCAACACTATAAGAACATAGATTTTCAATGAAACAAAACTGAAATAAAAAGTCTTTATTAAAATAATATTAAATAATAATGTAACAAGCATTTCTGAATGGTCCTATTCCTTTTTTATTCGTTCAGGACGTCTTTTGGTTAACAAGAAAACAATGTAATGAAACTTACGAGCTCTTTATCAGATGTAAAAGTTACATCAATAATTTCATTACCAAAATAATATGTACACCTTTATTAGATACCTTACATATGGTCAGTTGCACGTCCATTAGGATTCAATAACGACTTTAAGCTCTAACGAATGACAAATTTGTGTCGGTAATGTCAATTTTAATCTCGATTTTATGAACTGTGTTGCACTCGATGTAGAGTCCGCGGCTACGACTGCCATTTAATAATTTACCTCTATTTAAAATAATAAAAATCCCGCATTTTTTAAAATTTCTCCTATTCTTACAGAAAATAAAATGTAATCAGATAAATTTTAGCATTGTGTTAATAGCTACACATAAATTCCCTGTACCCGTAGGTTAATGACCTATATTTGTTAATGTACCCACAGTATTTTTACTATAGTTCAAATAAACACGGAAATTCGCTAAAACTATTTTGTCTATGATTGAGGGCAAAAATTCTGTGATTGACTTTTGTTTCATGAAAGAAATTGCAGAATAAATATGTTTTTTCGTTATTATTGTGCCTTTACACAAACGAAAGTCATTCAGTTTATTGAGTTTAATCATACGAATGAGGACAAATGCTTAAAATGGCAATAACAGTGTTCCATTGAAATCTATTACAGATCTAAATTGATGTCGCGCATATGAAATACTTTCACGATTATAATGGGTACCTATTTTAAAAGACATGGGTAATTCTCGGTATCGCAGCGTTAAATATTTTTCTGTTGTATTTTATTTCAAATTCAAATATAATTTAATAGGAAAATATTAAAGAATACTAAAGAAAAATGTTTAAAATATTACTTACAAGTGTTTTGTCTCGAAATACTCAAGACGGGACAATGATACAATTTAAAATACATGAAATAAATTTTTTGTTTGTATTTTTCTTCAATATCGTGTTAATATTTTTCTTTTTATATTATAACATTTATTATTAATATAAAATTTTTACTTAGGTATGCAGACATTTCAGACAATTGGAATGTATCGTAATTTAATTTTATGAAACAAAAGAATATGTTTCATGTAATTATTAAAATAGTGTTGTGAAATTAATTGTAATATGTTCATAAAACAAGCTTACAAATAGCTTATATAAACGTTGGAAATAGGCTGACTAGCAACAACTACTAAAGAAGTTAGAGATTTGTTAGCTCTCTACTAATTTAAGAGCATTCGCCTTGTTAGCGGTTCGAATATAGACTGACACTGACACAAATGCTTTTCAAGTACCCATTACGATAAAATAAATATTAAAATATCTTATCCAACGTTGAATTTTAAACGCTAAATTTAACAGTTGACCGTTATAAAGCTATTGCTAATAAAATGGCAGGTAAAATAATCTCATAAGAAATTTATGTATTCGTTTTAACATCATCATCATCAGTCGTTTTCGATCCCACTGCAGGGGATCAGACCTTCCTAATGGATGGTTAAGGAGGATGGGCCATGACCGTCCATGCTTGCCCAATGCGGATTGGTAGGTATTAACGAATGCCGGGACCAACGACTTAACGTGCCTTCCGAAGCTCGAGATAATAATTTTTTGGTCACCCATCCCTTTACCGACCCTTACGAAAGTTGCTCAACGATAACCATCGCGGGCGGCCGAGGTTATCCTCTTCGGTACCGAGCTATATTTAGTTATAGCATATTCATTCCAAATTAACTTGCATGTTACAAATTAACTCATAGCTATCGTGCACTTATACTCGTAAATTAAGGCGTTAGATCCGATTTGATGTGTTGTGACAATATCAGCAGTCTTCAACCTTTATTATAAATAGGCAAAAGCATATGAATATATTGTATTAGAATAATGTGACTATTATATTTTTACACATATTCAATATTCCAAGTGATATAACACATCATGTGAAAACAAACGAGTGTTTGTGACAAATCTTGTCTTTTTCGCGCTAACAATAGGTTCTGTTGAAAATCTTTTTATTATCTTATTATTTACTGAACTCGTCACAGATTCAGTACAATGAAAAGGGGATTTTCGATATAATTTTTATACCTTATATTCCCGCGTCTTTGCTCACGTAAATTAAAGTCTATATCACCAGGCTATGTTGGAGGTTCCGGTCAGGTCAAATTTCATAATGCATCAGTATTTCCAAAGATTATACCCTATAAACAAACAAATAAGGTTATAAACTTCCTTACAATATTAATATCTATGGACAAGAAAGGTCATTTGATCCATTACTATTTTGTTAAATTGTTTAACAAAACAACAGTAATTCTCGTTTCATGAATTCTTAATAAATAAATCAAATTCACAATTCAGGATATTTCATTCATTCTTAATACAAAATTTCGTCATTCTAAACGAAGAATGTTGAACTACAAAGTTTCTTTATCCAAATTCTTTTATCAGAACCTGTCCCGGGAATCTGTATAATGTTTTAAGAAACAATTCCGGGAACATAAGATTCCATTCTCAATTATTCAGCCCTGCTCCCTCATTGGCGTTCATTATTTTGACACCATTACATGGACCACACAAATTCGAAGTGATGAGATATCTCGTGTCATCGATCAGTAGCTCGGCCGCCTTCGCAGGCGTGCTGACACGTCCGAGATGTGAGGCTCCCATTTTGGTACACACATCTAGCAACTCGTCCTTTCCACCAACGGGATGGGACCAAACTCAAACGCTACTCCATAATTTATTTGAGACGCCATGGCTGTACGGAAAAGAGGTTTACTCATTTTATTGTTCTGTGTACTCAACACTGGAAACGCGGACGGTGAGCGAATATTGAATGTAGTCTAAATTTAACACTTATTTATATTTTAAGGGTCGTGACCGTGCATAAAAGGATACCTGCATAATTAATTTTGTTGTATATTAATTTGAATTGAGATATTGTCTTTGAGACTCGCAGGAGTCAACTTTATTCTGCGAATAAATAATCAGATAAGTCTGATTGTCACTTCATCTAGACTGCGATATAAAAAAATTGTAATAGGTTTCTTAAAGTATTTATATATATGCGTAGATAGTTGACTTTGAGTAATCTTGAGTTTTAAGACAAATTGGATTAATTACCTACGTAAATAAATCTGAAAATCTTGATATGGGTTCAATTTCAAAATGATAATTGTTCTTATATATTAGGCCTTAGGATTGATATAGTACTCTACAGAGTTAGTTCGAAAATACCAACAATCTCGCAGGAGTAAATAATTAGCATTATATATAACAACTCTTGTTCTATGAATTTTGACAATTCGTAACATTTATTTTTCATTTTAAAATAAGTTTTAATTATACTAGTATTTGCAACCTCAATGTTAATATGGAGCTACATCACACAGCGGGCAAGCATAATGTCTTTCTTTCGTTTATGAATAAGACCTATGTCTTATTGAAAGGAAGACATTATACTATACTTGTAAATGTCAGAGTACAACAAAAAATTAAAAAAACATTGTGATCAAAGTATTGAGATATAGTTAAATTTAGAGATCAAACTTTGTTAATGATGATAGCTATTAAGTCATGCGAGGTCGCTGGTATTTTATAAATAACCCTGTATAATTTGTATGAAATCGTAGTTTTAATATCGGGTTAAAAAATGTTTTAAATAGTGCCGATTCGTATACTGATTCGTGTTAATTATAGAGACCATTAAAATCGATAGTTATACGAATATTTTAGACAGAAACTCTTTTTAAAAACAAAACAGTTATATAAAATTTTAATTTTAAGTTAAGCAATGAAAAATAACATAACATTTTTTCATATTTTGTTTTATCAACCTATTTATTAAAAAAAAAATGTAATATTTCGATAATATAATATTACTCGTATTTTGCACAAATATAATATGCTAATATCTAAGCTATCGTAGCGTACATCTTTGAGATGAGAAGCAACATCTCGTCTTAATTTCAAGACTCGTTGCATACGATGGAAAATTTTGTATGAAACTGGAAACCCTCAACATTCATATATAGCTGGAATGCCCGCGAAATCAATTCTAAAATTAGGTTTAATCGATTTCATTAAATCAAGTTCATATTTTTTATAATGACCAATTTGCCATCTAAATCATCGTCATCACCAGCGTGTTAATATTCCCACTGATGGGACTCAGGCCTTCCCTATAGATAGAATCGAATACGAAGAATGGGCCATAATCCACCACTTGGGCCCGTGCCTATTGGTCAACCGCCCAGCCGGGACTAACGTCTTAACGTGTCTTCCGAAGCACGGAGGAGGAAATAAAGAATTAGATTTCCAACCGTATAGGAGACCGAGCGCGCTTACCACTACGCCATTACTCTATACTGCGTCCGCGTGGTTGATTATGGCCCATTCTACATCTGTAATTCTGTCCTTAGAGTAGACCCGTACCCAAGATCGATGATGATAAAAATAGAATAAACACTTACCGTACGGTACCATTACTAAAATAAGCAATAATAATTTACAACTCATATTATACATGACTTATATAGGTTATGTACTGTTTATCTATCTGGGTTGACCCGGACATGTTCGGCTTTTTAGGCCGTGTCCGGCTAAATATTTATATGACCGCCCTGTACGGTTCTTGTTAGGCTCTGTTAATGCGTTGCGTTGGAATATGCGTAATTAATAAGCGACTGTACTCGAAATGAGTTTTTAATTATTATAAATATCATGTCCGAAAATCGAAACGCACCCAAAGTTTTATAAAAGCGATATTTGACTACAAATCTCCGACCTAAAGCAGCGTAGAATTAGTTATAAGATGACAAGCCTATGACCACGTCATCCTAATGTTCCTTATAATTCCAGTGGAAGAGACAAAGCACTATATAACTATGCCTAATTATTATAACCTTTAATAAATATGTCTAGAACTTTGAAAATTCAGATTCTTAAATAAAAAAGCCTCACTGTGCGTTGTTAGCTTATACATTGTTTATTAATAGGTATAAAGAAGCGCTTATAATTTTTATAGATGAGACCGAGATCTTCGACGTCCTGACCGTGGTGAGGAACGACCAACTGCCAGATGGTATTAGTCGGATCCCGGGCCGTTGCCAACCACCTTACACTCCTGAGGACCAGTACACAGGATACAGCTTCAATGAAAACGCTACATTGCACCAACTGTCGGCCGGCATGTTCTACAATACTTTCCCTGAGGATTTCTCCATTTTGACCGTATTACGACTGCCAAGTGAGTATTCCATTGATATATCTTTATTTTCTAATAGAGCCCTCTATAAAATTTATATTTAATTACAAGCAAGACAAGCATTCTTGTAGGGGTTACCTACAGTTTATACGGATATGTAAGGAAAGGGAAACGTTATAAATCACCAAACCCAATAAGTGCTGTTGATACACTGTTTTAATGTAATAAAATTATAAATGACAATATTTAATACGTGACTTAAGGTTATAGAGCGTTGAACTTGAAATGCAGATCAGACTATTGTTTTTACCTACATACAAAGTACATTGACTCTTACAAGTCTTATTTTTCATGTTTGGTTAGCTAGTCTAGCTACACCATATTATGACCCAATCAGATATGATTAGTCCCGTGGGAACTTCGTAAGAAAGTATAACTTATTATAATAAAATGCAACGTTATGCAAAATATTCTGCAACGTGAGACATGAATTTAGAGCTTTGCACTTGTTTATTTTGACATAAAGTTTATTAAAGCACTAAAAATAAAATACAATTAGGTATCGAGAAATAGACAAATATATAGAAAGTATTTTATTTAGTAAATCAAAATAAATAACACTTATACTTATACCTAACACTCCTGTTCAATTACTTATGCGTGCTTATTAAAAGTACTGACAATAATTTTGTCTTTGATCCTGATTAACACGAAGGCTATTGAAATTGAGTGCCTCTAAAGGCTAAATTGCATTAGGACCCTTGAAATTGTACCGTCACCATTCTATGAAGCAATTATATCATATGTGTGTAATAATATCACCTATAATTGGCAATAAAGCTCACATTTCGGACTCTGATGTTAAAAATTTCCATTTCATGTAATGGCATCGATTCTGCTTAAGTTGAAATTCGAATAGTGACAGAACTTCCATTTTAAGGGTTCTGTATCTCAAAAACAACCCATAGGATCACTCGACTTATGTAGATAATACAATATCAAAACTAAAGTTGTTGAAATTCTAATGGGATGCTATTATTAAGTGAATATTAGCAGAGGTTGGTTTGATATCTTTTTTTTTATTTTATAAACAAATATTCCATTAACATCTAAGAAGTAATGCAGAAGTAACAGCATGTCTGCGGTTAATAGTTTCGGAGATACAGCACTATGTTTGTGAAAATGCTGTTAGTAGGTTGAAAGCGCTCCCTACAAATTCAAGGCACTAACTGACGACACACAGTGCTAAGGTAGCGAAAAACATTATAGCTGTTATAATGAAAGTTGTAAAATTTTACATAACTAATTTAATGTCATATGTATTTTAGCAAATTTTTGTAGTATATTTTCCGTAATATATTCTATACTTTTTCGTGTTTTCCATGCGTAATATTTCCCAAATTAATGCCTTAAAATTTATTTCTTTAAATATTTCTAAGTTGAAATGGTCCATATTTTTCGAACATATAACAGATATCTGTAGGACACAAGCCTAGCCGAGAATCATCATTAGGTTCGCGGTAGTGTAGTTTAGGAACTCTCCATTAATCATTTGCCTATATTAATTAAAAAGTCTAAAATTAAAAGAAGCATGAACATGAAGTAAACAAAGAAATATGTACATCATAAATTTAAATTAATATACCTACTTCTAAAATATCTCAAACTGATCGTAAAAGTAAGAATTACATAGAATCAAATCTATGAAAAGACTCATAAATGGAACAGATTCAGCTAGATTTAGCAATAACAAGTTACTGATATCCCCTTAAGCTAGATATCAAAGAAAAAGTATTTAAATCTCTATTGTTTGGCCATAAAACTCCCAAAGTAGTTACTTTTCCTAATAGAGAGTTATCAAAGTATATTCGTGAGATGCTTTTAATCCGAATAATAAAATTTAGTACTTCAGTGAAGTTCTTTTATGATACGACGCAAATATTACTAATCTCACTGATTGAAAAAAATATGATAGTGAAAATTCTTGTTTTGTTTTTTCAGTCTCTAAAACTCTAGAGAAATATTATAAAAAAAAATACATATTCGTCGAATCATTCTCTTGTTTTGTGCTTAGCAACACACTTTAATATTTTTATTTATATAAATAGAAAAGGGATATGATGCTTTCTGTTGAAGCTTCTTCAACACTTCAGCTCTAGGAAATGTTTGTAAAGGCAAATGTAGTTGATTTCTATTATATACTCGATTGAAGAACATCTATTGAGAAAATGATTTGTGGAAAAAAAATTTCGATCGGAGCGAAGAATAATTTTTTAAAATATATATTCATTTAGATTTTGAATTTAGAAAAAATAAGTTATACCCCCGAAATAATAATTAATATAGATATAGTATCTAGCCGTAATTATTTTTAGAATTATGGATAGATACGTTAAATAAAATTCCATAAATAAATATTTTATATCCTACAAATTACGAGAAACAAAATTTGGTACTTATGCTGATGGCATAAGGTAAGCGTCCATCATACTTCCACTGCATCAAGGTTTTTTATTAAAGTACCATTTTGTAATAGCTCGTTGGAAGTATTTCACTGTGACATCCAAAAATCCGTTGCGTAACGCGTATCCGTTGCGTGCGGACACAATGGTGGTTCTCCTTAAGCGAGGTTTTAAACATTTTCGCAAATTGAAAGTATCTACCCTAATATTTTTTTACTTTGAATTTAAACATGATATATCTAGCTGGCCGCTAGAGTTATCTAATTAAAAAAAAAAACTGTTGAAACAGATAAAGATCAAAACCCATTGTTCGTGCTGTACTCTGACGCTGGTGATGAGCAACTCCAACTAGTGGTGGGACAAATGATCGAGCTGTATTATGAAGATACGCGCGGAGATCCTCAAGATCACGAGATGCTCACATTCAGGCAAAGCGTCTCCGACGGAAGGTAAACCTGTCAATGTTATAAAAATAACGAAATTTTTCGAATGAGAAATTTCAAGTCTGACCAAATCTCTTCATACTTAATTAAATGAATTTCAAATTTTTTTAAGAGTTGTATTTATGTCAATTGTAAGTAATGCTTTTTTACAATAACATATCATCATCAGCCCTTTTACGTGCCCACTGCAGGGGCTCCGGCTTTCCTTATGGATGATTAAGGAGGATGGGTCGTGACCCTCCACGCTGGCCCAATGCGGATTGGAGGGTATTAACGACAGCAAATACAACCAGAACCAACGGCTTAACGTGTCTTCCGAAGCACGGAGTAGCTCGAGATAATATTTTTTTGTATACAACTATCGCGGGCCGAGGCACTTATCCACTACGCCACCGAACTACTTACGATAACGTATGCCTATCAATATGTATAATAAAAGCAGAATTTTATTATACATTACTAGCTATTTTCCTACGACTTACTCACATAAAATTATAGCCTATGCACCCACGTATGAGCGTATGAGTATTTTAAAAGTTCTTTTACCAACGAATAAAAGAACTTTTAAAATCGTTCCTGTAGTTTCTGAACAAATTCATTGAAAATTAACAAACATAGATCAAGCTTACTTAACTTCGATGTAACATATTCTTAATTTAAATATTTTATTTTAGTTCCTGACAAAAATACCAAAAAAAAATTCTATTTAGTCCATTAATCACTCAAAAGAAAAATATTAGATGAGTATTTATTTGTTTCGAAGTAACAAGAAATGGCTTAAACAATAGGCATTAAAGTTGACGAGTGGGGGCTCGCTACTTCACAACTATGTAGAAAATGTACAAGTTAAAAGTCTGCCCACATATTTTAGTCTACAGCATAATAACGATGGGACAAATGTTAGAGTTGTATTCATATTGTACGTAAACGCACGCAGAGATCCAGATAATGAACTGCTAAAGTCTCTTTCACATGGAACTACGTAAAAGTAAAGGTAAACTCACTAATTATAACTACAAAAAAACCACTAATTATAACTACAAAAAAACCAATTAAAAAGATATCCATACTCCCAAAATGAAACTACGCATCTCGACAAGCTACTGTTTATTTTGAATTTCTGTTTGACTTTGCTTTGCTTTTCAAGATTAACAAGGGAAATCAAGAAACTAGTAGCGTGGAGTCTGATACAATACGTCACACTTATACAGCTGATAACGTCTCGGTGAGTGACTAGGACCATCGTATGCGACATTTTATGAGTACATAACTTATAAAAAAAATTCGAGATGGTGGTTCCATGTTCGTCAAGTGTGTATCTTTTATTATGTGCATTCATGTTTCTCTTTTTTCCTAAATTCGGAATGATTTGTAAAATTCTTTTTTTTTATTAGACACTCATGGATCTCAGGAAAACCTCCGCTCGACTTCAATAACAGTTCCTTGAATAATCAAACCTTTTTTAAGTTATTGAATTATTTTATCTATTTCTTACTTTTTAAATTTTGAAGACTTGAAACAAAAAAATCATTAAATTTGATAGCTCTATGTGAGTAGGGCCCTACATTCAGGCACAAACACAACGTTGCCGACGACGGAAGGTAACTAACCTGTCAATAAATACGAATCCGTTTCACTCAACGTGCGTAGTCAACGAAAATACATGTTTATTTTGCTTAAGAAGCGGGAAATCGGAAATCGCTACTGAATTTTTTTCTACAAGCTTTTCGTTACGTGGTAACGAACCACTTCAACCTGACCAAAACAATTTGTAAAAAATCAAACAAAAAGTAAATATATTTTGACACTAACCTTCGTATAATCAAAAGAAGAGAAGCACTTGAGAAAATATCATAATTTAAGCAGATATTTTTACCAAATACACAATAATTTGAGTGAAGTAAGAATTTTAAAAGTTAGAATACTATTATATCATTAATTATTGATATTTCTTACTTCATTATTATATCATGAAGACAGTATGAACACGCTTTTCTGGTCATTAGAAATATAGAACAACAATTAAAACGTATTAGTTAGAATGCTAGGTATTAATTATTATCAGTTCTTACTTCAGTCAAACTCTCGTCTATTGGTTAAATAAGTTTGCTTAAATTGTGACATTTTCTCAAGTTAATTACTTCTCTCGACTGCAAATAGGAGTGTTATTAAAAAAAGGTAAGTAAAATATACACACAGTGGCACGTTATTACGACAATATGTCAAAATTTCCACAACTGAATATGTACGATGTTTGTATAACCTGACGTGCTGTTGATTATAAATCTATTTGTTCTTTTAATTCCATATTTGATTCTGCATCTTATCGAATAGCGTCATGGTGGATTATAAACTTTAAAAAAATACTTGAGAAATTTAATTTCTATAAGCATTCACATATACCCCACTGTAATCTCTATGTAATTTGGATTTAGTAATCTAGTAGGTAATTTTGATGATACAGATTAAATAAAATAATCTCCAAACGAGACAAGTCGTAATTTTCAAAATCGAGTACCGTTTCATCCAACTTTTAATTAAATCGATTAGTTTGTGTATTTAACACCAATATCTCACTCACTCCAATGTGATACTTGAAAACAAACCGAAATACGTCTCTTTATTAAAGCTTATCGCTCAAATCAGTGCAACGGAAGAACTTTTAGAATTGTACATAAAGTATGTTATACGCAACAAATGCAGAATGACTTAAACATACATGAAATCACATTTTTTTAACTTCAGTTCCACCTATTATGACAGTACCTACTTTTTATGTCAAAATGTAATTTATTACGTAGAACAGCATGGTAAAATACTTATTTCGCAGAAGTCGTTTGGCATACACACATTATAATAACTAGCTTTCCGCTAGCAGCTTCGCCCACGTGGTCTTGTATTATAAATAAAAACCTTCCTTTTGAATCACCCTATCTATGAAAAAAAAACGCATAAAAATCCGTTGCGTAGTTTTAAAAATTTAAGCATACAAAAATTTAAGTAGATAATCATTATTTTGAATTAAATGTCATTAACGTGAATAGTAATAATTAAATTAACCTCATATGGTATAAACTCTTATGAGTCAACCGCAGTTTACTCATAATGTACTAATGATATTTGAAAATTTATACACAAATTCAACCGTTAGTAGAATTTCCACAAATTACGAAGCGGCAAGCGAACATGTTGAAATTGTTCATTGATTTATTAGCGTGTTTGAACTTGCGAAGCTTTGTTTCAGTTTAGCCGTGATTTACCGTAAATTTTGCGGAGCTTAAGAATGTGAATGTTTCAATGGTTTCTGGATGACAAATTGTTGGTACCCATTGTTATTATGTTTGCAATATGTTACTAATATAATATATATATATTATAAACATGCAGTTTTGGTTTGTTTATACACTACAAAGCGGCAATCTTCGGAAATACTGAACCAAGACCTAATTATTCTTTTAAAATATATCGCAATCCCTTTCAATTTGACTTTTGAAAGATGGGAAACTAAATCGTAGCTACGTCGATAACAGGCTATAATTTACGTGGGCAAAGTAATAATAATAAACACTTTTTTTAATAGAACTGACATTGAACTTTAAAAATATGATACACGATACTTAACTCAAATGCTACTTATTTAAGAAAATGCTTTTGAAGTCGAGCGGAGGTCTTGTGTAAGTTATTAATTAAATGATAAGATAGGACTTATAAAAGGAAAACTACTGATTCGATTACGGTAAAATTTAAATGAGAGCATTCGGTCCATTAAGCTGTCAATTGGCGGAAATATCAGTAAATATATACATACATAAAATAAAAAAAATCCATCGCCGTTGAAAATATAACCTCCTCCTTTTGGATTTTGAAATCGGTTAAAAATACGTATAGAGTTACTATTTTAAAGTCATAAAACACTTTGAAACTATTTTATCATTTTAATTTTTTTTGAGGTTGGTTCATTCTGGCTAACTAAGAATATTTTAATAAGTAAAATTATAATTACCTTGTTTCGCTTTAGTTTTATATTATCTACATTTTCATCCAGAATGCAACAATTTATATTTCTTGCTTGTTATTTTCTTTTAATAAACGAATAAACTAATGAATGAAATCACTTCCGAAACGAATTATGATTTGAATGGTCAAGAAACATAATAAAACTTAATAACCTTAACTTAAAGTCATCTTTGCGTTTAACGGTTACCTTAGACAATTCCAATTAAGATCAAATTAATGATATCTTTCGCTTAATATTTTACGAAAAAAAGGCGCGATCTCTATCGCTCACATGTCAAATTGTTGTAGCGTTAAATTCGTTAATATCTTTTAAATCTCAAATTGAAAGCAATAGCCATAGATTTTAAATTTAGACAATTACGCCGCAGCTTAATAAACATGAGTGCTCAACTCATCAGCATTGTCACAGCACACACGTTCAGTGAAATGAAACCTTTATTACTTTTACAAGTAGGTTTATTTTGATCGGAACTGTATTTATTTATTTACGATTGACAAAAATATAAAATAATTCAACACTTAGAACAACATAAAATCGCAATAATATATAGTGCAACTCAACATGAATAAAAAGAAACATTAGATATTGCAAAAACCAAAATGTTAAAGCCTATAAAATTACTTTTTCAACTTTATAGATAATTAAAACAAAAGGAATACAATTACATAACTTCGATTATATAAAAAAACCTAATATAAAAAATACAATACTTCACCAATTAACACAAACATTTTGTGAAAGACTAGTTATAAAGATCAAAAATTAACACTAAATTTTAAAGTTATTTTTTAAACGAATTGACTAATTTTTGTTTGTCTGTCCGTCAGGGTTAAAGAATATTAAACATGTATTTTATTATTATTTTGCGTAATCAATGAATCATAGTAATAAACCGAGTTGAAATGTCTCATGTCCTCACGCCTTTTTACATAGCTGTGACGTAGAATGTCCCATTTCTCAACTTTAATGCCTATTATCTAAGCTATTTCTTGTTAAATTGAAGTAATAAAAAATGTTTCTACCATTTTTCTATTATCTTACTGCGGACTAAATAGAATTCCTTTTTTTATACCCAGCAATCATTCCTTTTCTATATAAAATACAGCGCTGTAGCACCTAAGAAGTTCCACCAAATAAATCATTTATTACCTTTAAAATAGATTTTATTGGATTTAACTGCCATCCCGACCGCCTTACTAGTTATAAAAACATTTTATTTATTTTATCAATGAATAATGTAAGTATTAAATAAAGGATGATATGTTATTATCAGACGCGGATTTGCAGTCTTGGCCGCCCTCAACCATGAAGTACTAGCCGCCCCTTGATTTAGGCACTGCATATGAATTTACTTTCTTGACAACGTGTCTTAATTTTAGTTAACTTTATATCGTTATGAAATATTCAAATTCATTTATTTTGATACAGACATAAGACACAGTACATGTTGTAAATAAAAATATGATAGTACACAACACTAGACAATAAAATACACATTAAAAATTTAATGAAAAGTATAATATTTCAATTTAGCATCCATGACTATACCAAAAAGGGTGACTAGTTCAGCATTTGTCAGCTAGGGCTGACGCTGATTTTCAACTAGTACCCTCTTTTGACCTATGGATGTCAGAACAGATACCATGTGTGTGTGTGTGTGTGTGTGTGTGTGTGTGTGTGTGTGTGTGTGTGTGTGTGTGTGTGTGTGTGTGTGTGTGTGTGTGTGTGTGTGTGTGTGTGTGTATGTTGGATTAAATACTGAAACATATAGCTAATATCTGATAGTAATGTCAATGAGTCGTTATTCAATGAATATATTCCCCATTTTATTGCCATTCTTGGCTCAGCCACAGATTCACATAAACTAACTATGGCTATATCTCAGCTTAATATACTTGTGTTAACCTAAAGAGTTTTGCCGGTATTTCATCATTCAGCGTTTGGCACATAATATTTAACGCCATTATTTACCGCCAATAATATATGGCCTCCCTTAGCCCGGGCCTACTGTGGCCTAAGGGTAAATCCGCCTGTGAACTTATATTTATTCTATTATTTATGATTTATTATTAAATTATTAAAGGGTATTATTATTAAAGGGTAAAAATAAAAATACCCGCTGACAGGGTGTTAAATCTTGACACCTGACAGTAAAACGAAATAAAATAAAGCTAAAGAAATAAACATAAGAATCAAAACAGCCTGATACAGATTGGGGGTAAAAAGATATAAAAAAGAACCTCCTACTTCTAAATTCGTAATAACGTATTTAGCACAACAAAACAAATTTTGTTTGAAGATGGCATCGAGTAGCTCTCAGTGTCAAAGGTAATTCGGTGACACTGCTGTTGGACTGTGAGGTGAAAGAGACTGTCCCCCTAGACCGCAAACAAGGGAGTGCCTTCAACCTGGCCGGCGCATTGGTTGTCGGCATGCAAGTTACTGCAGACCAATACTATGAAGTGAGTATTTGGATTAGTTGTTTTAATCATACTACAATAATAAAGACATTAAAAAAATATTAATTTCTTACTTTTTGCTGTTTATATTTAAGAACTATACTCTCTGAACATAATGAATAGTAATTATCCAGCTAGGAAATAAATTCAAGGGCCAATTCTGTATTCGATACTAGTTGTCTGTTTATTACATTAAATTAACCGCTTTTTACTGAATACATAAGTATGTTGACATGGTACACAAACCAAAATATGTTTTTTGTCTATCTGTCTGTCTCCGAGATTCTGTTCGTTTCAGAGATTAGCCGAAACAAACCCGGTTAATATCTGAAACGACTGGACTAAATTTGACGGGACTTTCACTGCAGATAGCTTATGTAATAAGGAGTAACTTAGGCTACTTTCCACGCGGCGAAATTGCGGGTAAAGCTAGTTTATAAATAAAAAGCGTGCAGTGTGCCAAGAGTCTTCATACTAATTTCAATATTCCAAATGCGAATCATTTTAAACCCACAGGTACTTCCATACAGTATTAACTCCTGCTTTTGTGTTCTCTCCTGCTTAGGTGTTAAGACTTTTTTACCTGGCATTTATTTGATTTTATCGAGCAGATGTTTAATTTTAAATATGTTACTTAATATAGTTTGTCAAACAATGAATAGGTAGTAAGAAAAGCGCAGTAAAGTTAACTTCATGATACAAAAATATACGATACAAAACGGTTTTTCATATCTTTCAGGGTGATATCGAATTATTGCAATTTTCAAATAAACCAGACACAGCATTCGATATGTGTACCACAGTAGCGCCTAATTGTGTTGGTATGAGGAGTGCGCAAGATTCTGCATCTTCAGGTATTTTGGGACAAGAAAATGCATATTCTGAAATAGAACGAATCCATCAGACAGATATCCAGTTGCCCGATACCACTGTGATTCCAAATTTAAACACTTTGGCGGATGATGGTGACGAACGGAGGTACGATGTAATCGGTAGAAGGAGATTTTTCCACGAGAGAAATCGCTCGCATCATAATTTGAATATAGCAAGAACGAAGTTAACGACACAAGCACCCGTTTGGTCTCTGCCTAATTTCATTGGAGTTACAGCTCAATATCCAGCTATGACGGATTCTGGTAAGCATAATTACTAATTCTCATCATCTGGTAAGCATAACAGGCTTAATGGCGCGGTGGTAGCAAACCTACTGTTGCGCCGAGAGTCATGGGTTCGATCCCCACCCAGGACAAACATTTTTGTAATTAACAATTATATCTGTTCTGTGTCCGGGTGTTTTCTTTTTATATTATGTATATATTTGTATTCTCCCCATTGTTTCTGATATCTGTAACAAAAGTGCCTATGCTACTTACGTCGGAATCGGATCAATGTGTGTAATGTTGTCCGATATTAATAAAAAATATAAAAAAATAACATAAAAATAGTAACAATTCTGGTGCACAACTTGACGAAAGGACATCGCCGAAAATGGCCCCAATACCATTAAATATTAATACTTCAATAATAATTACTAATTTATTTATTAAATTGGAATCAAATATTTATTTGACACGGACAAGCTGCGATCCAAAATTAATATTTAAAAGTACTTTAACAGTAACATTTTTATTCGCAAATATTCACATTCAATATACTTAAATTCTATTGAGTCAGATGGATGTAATTTACACGTCAGATCAATAAGATCATTTATTTTTATTAGATAACCTTTAAATCATCGAACACAAAAACATTAAATTAAATTGACCAAAAATAAACTTAAATTTACTAAAAGCGCCATCTCTTGGGGATTTTCCAACTAAAACATAAGGACAAAACTGAATAATATATAAAATAAATTCATTAACTGTTGATAATTCACTCTTGTTTATTCAGAAAGATTGATATTCATACGACATATCCTAAAAACTACTTTGTTTCTATTACATTACCTTTATATTTCTCGTAAACATATTAACGTCATGTCATTTATGTATTTAAGGCGCCATCCATCATAAAGCTATAGGTTTTACAATTTTAAGCTTATCAATAGGTATATTATTTAACTATTAGAATGATTTATTTGTCTATTGATTGACTAAGAAACTTTTACAAATCACAACGAAAAACCGACTTTCTTAAAGTTGAGTATTTTTGCTTCGACAATATAGACATCAATATCATATCATGTACTTACATTGCGATCTCTTGGTGGTTTTCCAAACAAATTATAACCTCAAAATGAATTATATTTTGCGTGATAATAAGTTCTAAAACTCGGTCGCGGTATAATAAATACATAATGAGAATTATTTAGTGACACACTATAAAATAAGTATTTTCCTATATTTTTTTGGCTCTGGGGCCACCAATGTAAGGACGTTGAGCAATGTCCTTTAAGCTTAACCTTGTCCAACTTCATTTTCAATTGTAAAAATAACTATACTCATACAAAACATGATACCTAAAGGCGTATTCTATTTCTCAGAAAACGAAATTTTGTTTATTTTTGAAATGCTAATACGACTCCAAAGAAACGCATTATTCGATAATTTATGATGACGAAGTTGCCTTATCTGAAGATGTCTCTGATCCACATATAAACCTCATTAAGAATATTTTCAGGCATTGTGAATGCAAAATTGATCAAATATAATAATAAGAGTAAGTTTTCACATTAATCGAAAGTTTAAAAACATTAATAAAAATATTTCTATCGACTAGTTGGGTGGATTGTCTGGACATTGATGCAAATACGCTCACTATTAGCGAAAAGTAACAAGTGCTTTAATATATTTCAATTTAAATTAGCCTTCTTTGTAACTTATATATTAACTTATTAATATTTTGCAAATCCATGAACAAACAAAATAATGAAATTATGCAATGACTGCGAATGACTGATACCCACTTTTTTGTGTCTAGATGAAAACAGCATATTTGGCAGTTTTACGGCGGACAATGAAGTTTTCCCGGTTGAAACTAATTACATCTTTAGACCACCTGAACCACAGCAAAGTACTACTCCCAGGGTAAGTTGTACATAACGATTACACACGCCGATTCGGTAAAAAAGAAAAGAAAAACACAACCCTTGTGCAATATCTTGGCGACTCTTCTCAGTAACAAATTGTGAGAGATCCTCCTAGATTTACGATGCTTTCCGAACATCACAAGTTAATACAGATCTAGATTTGATCTAAATTGAATATTTTTTTCTTAGAATTGACTACTTAACAGTTATAATAATTGTGAAATATGTTGAAAATAGAATAATATATTATGTAAATTTTCGTTTTAATCGACTTCAAAATAGGAAAAGGAGGTTTTATGTATGACTAGTGAGTAAAAATTTTTAATGCATGTTCACTTTTGTGTGAATTGTGTAGCGATTTAAAAAATTGTTCTTGAATTCGAAAGCTTATGTCTGTGTAAAGTGCGGTGAAAATAATCTTTTGAAGTTGGGCGGAATTTTATGTAGCTGTGTAAGTTTCATGTACTTAAAAACCACTTTTAAGATACTATTTTTCAAGTTGTTGATGTGTTTCACTTTTCTCAAAAGTTTATGTATTTTAATTATCACCTTTCTAGTTATTAATTGCTTTTGCTATTACACTACCTATAGGTAATTTAGACGTACATTTATGTAGACGTAAAAATAATTCTACCATACTATCAAAATGTTTCTATACACTTTTATTATATTATTAATGATATGGAAAAACGGACAGAATAAGAGAAATCCCACAGGCACAGGTAGATTTGAAGGGGTGAGGATGAACGAAATGAAATTGAATTTTTATCGCAATGTCGACCATTCGCTCGTATCTGCAGAATTCTGTGGTAGTGTAATACAAAGTTCGCGTACACCAATAAGTACATTATAAGAATCTGAGTATTGTTGACATTGCGCTTTGACTATGGTTCGATTTCCTGGAGCCTTACCGCCTAAAGTCATAACTAAAGCAATATCATATATAAAATTGTCTTTTAAGGTTCCGTAGAGAGGGTGTAAACTGGGCAATATTACTAAAATTCCACTGTCTGTCCGTCTGTCACCAAGTCTGTTTCTATCACGGTTTATGAGATACATAAACCGTGATAGAAAGACAGTTTAAATTTTCACAGATGATGCTTTTGTGTTGCCAAAAACAGAATAAAATAAATATTTATTGGTGCTTTCATACAACAAACGTAACTTTTTGCGTTTTTATTTCTGGAACGTTAGGATTGGGTATCCCATTTTCCGTAATGATTACAAATTTTTTGTATGGTCGTCAAATGATCTACCTCGAAGAATATTAAACATATATATTTTTTGCATAATCAATAATTTAGTTGAAATGTCGCATGACGTCAAATCCTTGTACATTTTCTACGCAATTTTGACTTAAATTTAATGACTATTATTTAAACCGTTTCTTGTTAAATTGAAACAAAAAAAAATAAGGGTCATATTATTTTTCTATTATCTGACTGACGCACTAAATAGATTTTCTTTTTTATTGCAATACTCATCCCTATAATGTGCGTGAAAAGTTAGTTGCATTACTCTGTCCAACCTAACTCCGCTCAGAAGCACAATAGGTTTTTGGGGTCTTCGCAGGCCTCAACAACAAGACAGATTGAATTGAAATTTAATCACATACACAATCTAATGGCGGCCTCGTTTTAAGCTTTAACAGACGTAGACTACGGCTTTTTTTGACACACCTCAGACTTATGTGAACACGGAACCAATAAACCTACATACAAACCATTTAAAAGCTGTCATTTATGGATAGTGCGCATGAATCGATATACCTACATGTTTACTCATACGCCGTAATCACATTTGATTTCCTTTGAGAAACGACGACGTGTTGAGATCAAAAAGAACGTTATTTGAGCTGCTAATCGATTTGAATACTTATTCAAGAGCGACCTACATCTCTGAATATCGCACTGGTAATACTAAAAGTCAATAATATCATACTGATGAATGTTTATTCTTCCAAAATACTTATAAAATTGATTACATTTTTCGCTCACGAAAAGAAATCAAAATTATCAACCGAAAAAAAGAAATGTATATCTATGGTTTACAAATAAGGGCCAGTTTCACCACTTGGCTTATAAAGTCCCTGATAACCTATCGGAAACGTATCTGCCAGATAAATTTCAAATTTATTGCAATTTAGTGCAAAGTAAATAGAACTAGTGGTTTTAATAGCCAGTTGTACACACGTCCATTAAAATTGTCATAAGTTTAAAGCAAGATTATCCATACAAATTTGACATTCATTAGAACTTAAATACGTCATTAAACCTAGCAAAATTTATTTTTTTACTTTAATTAACCTTTTTCCTGTATATGTAACAATCACGTTATTTTTTAAGCTAAAACGAGGAGATGAGAGTGAAGAGCAAGGGTTCACTACGATCATTACGACCGAGTCGTATGCTCCAATGACAACCACTGAAGAAGACGACTGGCTAACGCATCCCCCGGACGTGGTAACAATAGTTTTATGTATAAGACAATGACCCACAGGAACTCGATGGCGCCGTGCTTAACGTGTTAGTCCTCGTTGCGAATGTTAAGCAAATTTCAAAAAGGATTGCCATAGGATGGGTGTCCAAAAATTAATTATCTCAAGCTTTTCGGTACTTCGGAAGGCAAGACATTGGTCCTTGCAGCGTGGCCAATTCTATTGGTAAAGCTTGTGCCCCAGAAATGGGGACTTTAATAGTTCAAACGTGTAGAACACAACCTGTTAATAATTTTATGGTAGCAGGCAGTATTCGGCACTCCACCACTTTTTCATAACCAAAACCAATGGATTACATTACGAAACATATTATAAATCACTCCACAGGGAAATAGAACGATAGAATATGAAACTGAGACATACTATGACTACGGGACCTCAGGCGAATACATGGGACCGCGCGGTTACCCTGGCCCACCAGGACCGCAAGGGCCGCGTGGACCCAAAGGCGAGCCGGGCAAACCCGGAGCGGAGGGTCAACAAGGTTTTCCGGGGGCTCCAGGAAATGTATTCGTTGTTCCCGTAAGTGGATTAATTTTTTTATCCCCACCCAAACGCTTTTAAAATGCTTTGACACGATCCCGCAGTAGTTAGCACATTCTCCCGGCCATTGGAGGATTAAGTAAGATTTGCACAGGTTATCGAATAAGTAATCAAAAAGGTGTTAACTCAAATTCTTTGAGTTTTTTGCAGTTTTCACTTAATATAAAAAAATGTTCAAGTTTATATCTATCTAATACAATAAGATTATTCAAACAGATACACTTCGTTGCGTAACATAACTGTATTCAATATGTACGATTAATTTTAGTTTGTCTGTCCACTTGGATTGTTGAAGAATGTTAAACACGTATTTCTTTTAATTTAATGCATATAATCAATAAATTACGGCGATGCAATGAGTTGACATGTTGAAATGACATCACACCTTTGAGCATTTTCTACATGGTTGTGAGACGTAACGAATCCCCTCAACCCCACTCCTCAACTTTAATGCCTTTTGTATTAAATTGTAGCAAAAAAAGACGTATCTAACATTTTTGTATTGCCTGATTGAAATATAATATATAGCTAAATAGAATTCCTCTTTTTTTACTCAGGCTTTTCTTACCGGGAGCTTACATTCCCTTTCTATATCCTGTTCATAGGAAAAGCCTGTACACAAGAGTCATGAATGGTGAGTGATGACTGCATTTTTTTTTTCATTGTCCTTCTAGTTACACCAGAATGGAAATGAAAAAGGACCAGACGCGCAAGCGGAAGCATTACGACAAATGTTCACCCAGCACATGGTGAGGCCAAAAATCCCTGTCCATTAGATTCTCCATCTTTAATATACTCAATGAAAATTGCTTAAAAAAAACACTTTGTCCCTGGCACTCTAAGATGATTCTCGAACGCATGACCTTTCGCAACCCGGGAGACTGCTCTAACCACTGAGCTACCCAGGACCTAACAGAAATAAATTTTTCAAGCACTTTTTACTTTTTCGTACTAGAGAGCGTATTTTCATCAATGTTCAGGCACTCTACCCAAACAGCCGAAAGTAATATTTAAACTTTCGACGAAAATGAAAATTTGCTCTAATTGTTATGTTTGATGAATTTTAAGCATTTTTCATTATGAATATTTTTCAATAAAGCTTTGTGAATGCAAAATTGGTCAAATATAATAAGTATCATTACTCTTAATTGTGACGTACGAATTAACTCTCTTAGAGAGTCAAGACTTTAAGAATAAGGACCATGTATGAAGGAAAGGAGTTCGATAGCGCTGTGACAAGTGTGCTATAAGCCACATTCGCATTGGTCAGTCAATGGATGGGTGACCAAAAATTTACCATCTCAAACTCCTCTGTGCTTTGGAAAAGCCCTGAGCCCCAGCATAACCATAATGTTGGGGACATTAATAGGCTGGTTATGATGTGATGATAAAATTTGTGATCACCAATCCCTCCCTACCTGCTATTGTAAATGAGAAAGGATCTTCTGTCTGTTACGCTTTCAAGCCCAAACCATTAAACCGATTTAATTATTTAGATTGAATAGAAATAAAGTTTATCTTCGGGAAATTTGAACGAAAGTTCGTCTTTGAAAATCCATGAAGAATACCATGTGGATAACTTCATGGGTACTTAAGAAATCGTGGAAAGAAACTAGTTTATAATAAGTAAATTAGTGATTTCTCAATTTTCCGTTTAGTTAAGTAACTTTGCCTCAATTTTACAAACATTTTATTATTTTACGGTGTTTCAATAGTAAGATTAACTAGGTAATTCATTCAATTGTTCTAAATCAATTTTCCAGTAAAACAATTCAAGTGTCAATGACTTTTGAGAAATTTCTCGAAACTTATACAATGTAAAACTGAAAAGTTATATTTGAAATGAATGAATGAATAAAGCAAAATAATCACAACAATATACACTTAAATAAATGTATTAATATTGTATGGTATCATTGTACCTACATAACCAATAAATGTATTTTCTTTCTTTCTTCTTTGTAATTCAAAAATACGTATTTAGAATTAAAATACGTGACAAATACTTTATTAATTTCATAATTAAAATTACTCGATAGCTTATAAGATTGGCTATATTTCTATATGTAAATGACTGATATTTATTAGGCTGCGATGAGAGGTGCCGATGGACCAATGGGTTTAACTGGCCCTATAGGATCCGAGGGCGAAATTGGACCTGAAGGACCAAAAGGAGAACAGGGAGAACAAGGAGAACCGGTAAATAAAGAAATCTTTGTTACTTTGTGACACAAAAATATATACAACGTGTCCCAAAATTCAACGATAAGCGGGCGCCAAGAGGTAAACCTGCTCATGTGTACTTATGGAAAAATAAGAAAAAAATTATATCTTATTAATCTTTTTTATTATAAAATAAAATTCGAAAATTTTCGAAAATTTACACCTTTTATGATATTTTCAACTACCACGACCACAACTTCTCAATTATGTTCAATCTTTTTTTGGTATCGGATACCTAAGTAGTACTAATATTCGCTACAACTGTTAAAAACACCAAAATGCCCACAGTATTTACACAAAAAACAATCAAAATGTATTTTTTCCTTAAATTTTCACAGATTTTTACGTTCCGTAATCTTTGACTCACAGTCATGTAGAAAAAAAGTATGGACACTACTGTGGGAAGTTGTTTTTAAAATTGACGCAGCTCATGAAGATTCCATAATGGTATAATACTTCATGATAACTAGCAACAAACTAAAAATCATACCATTTAGAATCAAGAACCAAAGTTGTGAGTAATAAATTGTACTGTTCCGAAATGTTTTAATATTTAAAAAAAAATATTGAAATAAAACAATTGTGAGTTTTAGTCTCATTCATTTATTAATAATTAACATTACAGTAAATGTTCAAATTGTTTTCCACCGGCATTAATACATGCACGACATCGCCTTAAAAAAGAACGTTTTATTTTTCGTGCATACCTTTTAGCATTGATATGTGACGCAGCCTGACTAATTTTTTGCCGAAGCTCGTCCAATGTCGTAATGGGTTTTTCATAGATTTTGTCTTTGAGACAACCCCAATAGAAAAAGTCCAGGGGGTTTAGGTCGGGTGATCGGGGTGGCCATAAGATAGGACCAAGACGCCCAATCCAACGCCCGGAATACTCTTGGTCCAAGTATTGTCTCACAGGACGAGCGTAGTGAGCTGGGCAGCCATCATTTTGAAACCACATATTTTGTAGATCTCTTAAGGGGACGTCTTCAAACAATTCTGGCAAATCATTTTGTAAAAAGTTCAAATAACTGTCACCATCCAAGTTTCCTTGTAGTTCAAAAGGCCCGATCACTTTTCCATTTAATATGCCCGTCCATAGGTTAACCTTAAACTGATATTGGGATTTTTCCTGTCTCATTAGGTGTGGATTTTCATTGCTCCAGCTGTGTAGGTTGTGGAGGTTTAAATATCCATCTTTCTTGCATGTTGTTTCGTCCGACCATAGTACTTTGTCCAAGAATTGAGGATCTTCCCGGTGCTTTTGAAGCATAATACGGCAAAATGTGATCCGTAGTGGATAGTCCCGTGGTAGCAATGTTTGCACACGTCTGTAGTGGTATGGGTGAAGCCTGTGACGTTTTAAAATTCGATGAGCCGTACTTTTTGGGATTCCCGTAGCTGCTTCTATGGCGTTAGTACGAGAGCCACGTCAATTGAATACAGAAAGGTGCGCAGTAAACAAAGGAGCAGAACGTACTGATCCGACTTCAGATTTGCTGAGAACAGGATTTCTCTATGTACCTGCATTGTTGTTATTCTACAAAAAATATCTATCTATCCCTTTCTAACATACCCTTTTCGCTATCTGTTGAGTCAACTATAAGTTGAGCCATTACAAACGTGCGAACTGAGTTAGAAAAACAAATTACGTCAAAGGAATGTGACAATGCCGCAGAACTCGTTTTCGATAAAGGGATGCAGCCGCTCGGGTGCAGGTAGCTGGTAGAATTGGTAATTTGGTATACATAGACACAAGTAAAGGGCAAAGTGGCATGAAAAACAATACTTTCAAAATAGCAGAAATAGAGCATTACCTAATAAATAAATATCTAATGAATATTTATAATTTGGTTCGTTTGTTTACAAATGGTGTGCATATTTTTTTACTGTGACTAGTTATCTTAGATTATTATACCATTTTGGAATCTTGATGAGTTCAGTCAATTTTAAAAAACAACTTGCCACAGTGGTGTCCATACTTTTTTTTACAAGACCGTAAGTCAAAGATTACGGAACGTAAAAATCTGTGAAAATTTAAGGAAAAAATACATTTTCATTGTTTTTTGTGTAAAAACTGCGGGCATTTTGGTGTTTTTAAGAGTTGTAGCGAATAGTAGTGCTACTAAGGTATCCGATACCAAAAAAAGATTGAACATTATTGAGAAGTTGTGGTCGTGGTAGTTGAAAATATCATAAAAGGTGTAAATTTTCGAAGATTTTCGAATTTAATTTTATAATAAAAAAGATTAATAAGATATAATTTTTTTCTTATTTTTCCATAAGTACACATGAGCAGGTCTACCTCTTGGCGCCCGCTTATCGTTGAATTTTGGGACACGTTGTATATAATATCAGTTTACATTAAGCATTTTAGTAGCTCGGTGGCGTAGTGGATAAGCGCCGCGGCCCGCGATCGTAGTCGTTAAGCAACTTTCGCAAGGGTCGGTCACGGGATGGGTGACCAAAAACTTATTATCTCGAGCTACTCCGTGCTTCGGAAGGCACGTTAAGCCGTTGGTCCCGGCTGAATTTGCAGTCGTTAATACCCTCCAATCCGCATTGGGCCAGCGTGGAGGGTTATGGCCCATCCTCCTTAACCATCCATAAGGAAGGCCTGAGCCCCTGCAGTGGGGACGTAAAAGGGCTGGTGATTAAGCATTTTATGAGAAAAATAAATACTGTAGTCGAGTCTTTACATGGTTAAATTTGCTTTTAATAAATCATAAATATTACTGAACAACTTTTTTAAGGGTCCACCTGGCCCCCGCGGTATTCAAGGGCCACCAGGACGTCTAGGACGCAGAGGACATGCAGGAAGAGATGGGGAGCGTGGATCTCCAGGTCTACAAGGAATTAAAGGAGAACCAGGTTATCCCGGGCTTCCCGGAATGCCTGGAGATAAAGGCGAAAGAGGAACGCCAGGACTACAAGGAGAACCAGGTGCTCCGGGACAAGACGGACCACCGGGCGACGACGGTCCCTCTGGACCACAGGGCCTAATAGGAGAACTGGTGAGTTATTGGTGATAGGAATGAGTTTGTGAAAAATATTGTTAAATAACAAATAATTCGTTACAATTATAATTAGTTTACAGCAAATGTCAACAAACGTCCTGAACAAGTGGTAGGGGGAAAAAAATGTACGATTCAAAAGTGCTTGAAACAAGCTTACCTACTTGAATAATGACAATTTCATTTCAATAGACATAATATTTTTAATAACGAACGATGAAGTAAAAAATAGCATCTACTACATTTCATACACTTCCTTTTTTCTATTTAACCAAAAAGTATGTCTATTGTAAAAGCCTGTTAATTATTCTAGGGACCAAGAGGTTTTATGGGACCCAGGGGTTTTCCAGGACTAATTGGATATCCCGGTATCCCTGGGACTGAAGGTCCTCAAGGTTCAAAAGGGTCATCGGGTCAACCGGGGCCTCCTGGACCTCAAGGTCCACCAGGACAAATGGGGACACCAGGCTCTCCGGGACCACAAGGCCCTATAGGAACTCCTGGAATTCAGGTAAATACCACTATATACATTATTATCGTATTTCTTTAAGAATATCTAGTAAAGTATTTATTTTTTCTTACAGGGTCCACAAGGTAAGCCAGGTATTTCAGGCTTACCTGGACCTGAAGGAATGCCGGGGTCTCCAGGCAATCCAGGACAACAAGGATCTCCCGGTGATATTGGCCCACAAGGATCACAGGTACTTATGTAAATTTCTAATTACACTATTTGTTCACCATAAAAAAACCATATCCCGAGTGGTAATTCGTTTTAAGTATACCTACCTAATAAACAACTATACAAAAAAAACATTTTTACATCTCTAAAGACGGATCATGAAAATCTTACTTTTTCAATTGTACAAAAATCTTCTAAACATAAATTTTCCAAAATGGACTGTATGTGTTTTTTTTGTTTCTTATTTTGCTGTATTTCTAAGCAAAAATACATAAGCATGCTGTATTATATATAAGCAAGTAGTATTTCAGTTTAAATGTAAAAAAAAAACAATTTCTCTAATTTGAGAAATTGTTTTTATGAGCCTTATTTATTTAAGATGCCTTTTGACTTAGCGTTGCAGCAATGTGAATGAAACTAAAAATCGTACAGACGCAAATCTGACAGGTTTTACAAAATAAATTCAAAACTCTCGATAAAATATACTAATGTATCGTATGATAGAAGAGAGCGGAGCCGACACTTGCACTTAAGAACTGCGTTTAACTAGAGAATCAGAGTTAAACGCACTTTCAGAGATATAGATTAGATTAAAAAAAAAAACAAACCCCAGTTCCATGAAGAAAATACATAGTTGGCTTTTGTCTATATATAACTATTTTATATGATATAACTATTTTATCAACAAATTTCATTTCACATTAAAATAACATAACAGAGAATAGACATTGTAAACCCATTGATTTTTTTATTTGTTGCATAGCGTTATATGGCGTTATGTTTAAACTTAAAAAAGTACCTATAACTTCTAAAACTTATCTTTATTACTTAAGGGAATGACTGGCTTCCCGGGTCCTAGAGGTCTGAAAGGGGATGATGGTCCCCGAGGTGTGCAAGGTGACAAGGGTGATAAAGGTGTCAGAGGTAAATGAACCACATAGTTTCAATTGAAAAATAAAGAGTAATGAAAAATGCTTAAAAATCCACCACCCTCACCTGAGGGTACCTACTCTGACATGGGATTCGAACCGACTACCACTCGCAATCGAAAATTAAACATTTCTTTGGACTGTTTAGGTGAATTACCTAAAAATAAGCTCACTAGTAGCGTAAAGTAATTAGAGCTTCAAAAACTCCTTAGTCCTGTTGGGATTTAATATTTTCCAGTAACTAATGCGAAGTACTAGGTGGGGCTAACGCAATCTATCGCAGCGCTCGTGGTGGCCAAAAGTAGAAACATCGCGAGCTCTATCATCTGTCATACATACCATATTATGTACTTGTTTTTCTTTCAACTGAATTAATGTTAAAAGTGTTTATTAATTATGATTTATAATAATATCTATTTTTATTTTATTTTAAATTAAATCTAAAAAATAATTTGTATAGAAATTAATAAAACAATAAATAAACTGGACTGAAATATATTATGAATTTTTGTCAATGATAACAATTTTCTCATTATATTACAATATTCAAAATTCAAAATACAATGATTAAAATTAATGTTTACGTTTGCTTTCATCCCTTACTTTTTTATGCTTATTTCATACATTAATAACGTTACTAGAATAATTTTATATGTTTACTTTTATTTAATTTCTTGTTTTGCAGTAAAATTGCAATTAAAAATGAGCATAACTAATTATGACATAGGTAACAAAATAAAAATCGTTTTAAAATAAGTTTTAGTTACTCCATTTAATTCGAATGATAACAAATAACTTTACAACTCTCCATCCACATTAATTACGGTAATTTTGTAATATTATATATAAGTGAATAGATAGTGTTGATGTTAATATCTTGTCTAAAATAAAACGATTAATTTGGAAGCGTCAAAGCTGCCAATGTTGCTGACGTTAGGTATCGCTGAAGTCGTCCACATAGTCAATCCAAAATTGATCAAATATAATAATAAAAAGAAACTTGTCGGTATTTCTTATATTAATTTATCATTGCTCTGTAGGTATTGATGGTGAAAAAGGAGAAATGGGACCAAAGGGAGAACGTGGCTTATCTGGTGAAACAGGTCCACCAGGTATAGAAGGACCTGAAGGTCAAAAAGTAAGACTATCGATTTGATTTTTTTTAGTATTAAATAAGTTGCTTTGTCAATAATCTTTTGTTAAAGCAATAAAGAATACGTTAGTAAATATATCCTTGACCACAGGGTACTGAAGGCCCAAGAGGAGAAACTGGCCCCATAGGACCATCGGGTGAAAAGGGTGCTATGGGGCCACAAGGGCCACAAGGATACCCTGGCAGCCAAGGTGATAAGGGAGATAAAGGGGCTTCAGGAAGAAGGGGTAGGAGAGGAGCTAAAGGACTTATGGTAATTAATATATTTCTGTAAGATTTACTTTGACCTTTTAAAAGATATATTAATAATTTTCTTTTTCGTTTTATACAGGGCCTAGTTGGACCACATGGTGATCGTGGTGAAACGGGACCGAGGGTAATGAAACAAAATAAAATTTAAATCAATGACCTAAAAATTTCTATAATTTTTAAATAATCTGTGGTACAGAAATATTGTTAGATAAAAAATATTATTTGTACAGGGGTATAGGGGTCCACATGGACGCCGAGGTTCAGATGGGCCGCCCGGTTCTAAGGGAGACACAGGACAACCAGGCCCTCCTGGACCTATAGGCGAGCGTGGTCCACAGGGCCTAGAAGGTATTCGTGGATTCCCTGGAATAATGGGTCCGCCAGGACCAGATGGGAAACCTGGCATGCCAGGTCCTCCGGGAGAACGTGGACCAACGGTAATAGATAAACTAAAAATCAAATTTCACTTTAAACTTCTAATTTTCTTTCTTACCAAAATATACTAATGATTTTACATTTTTCGTTTATGACAGGGAGCTCCAGGTTCAGTTGGTTTAACTGGCCTACCAGGGCCTGTAGGACCACAAGGTCAAAATGGGGAGCCAGGACCTTCTGGACCACCAGGAGCACCCGGTATCCCTGGGTCTCCTGGCGAATTAGGTGCTCCTGGTGAAATGGGCAAAGAAGGTGCACCTGGACCACCCGGTCCTGAAGGCAAACCTGGACCCGCAGGCTCGCCAGGTCCCCCAGGTCATCATGGAGAAACTGGAATGCCCGGGCCACAGGTAAGACACATTCGAAATTTAATCATATTGTCTCTTGAAAAAAGGATAAGTTTTATAAAATTATAATCAACTGTAGCTCCATATATACTATTATAAGAATACGTAGCGTATAATAACATATACTTGTTCCTTTTCAGGGTGTTTCAGGTAGCAAAGGTGATATTGGTCCAATGGGTCCTATTGGTGTAAGAGGCTATAAAGGTGAAAGAGGTGAGCCGGGACACGAAGGACCTCAAGGACCGATTGGTCGTGAAGGATCACGAGGCGCACCAGGCCCTGGAGGACAAAAGGGAGAAATCGGAGAACCTGGACCTATCGGTAAAATTTAGATTCACTGAACATATCAACATAATATCTGATATTAATTCTAAATTATCTTTTCTAAAATACTTAAATATATCATTTTGTGACGTGATAATTGTTATTATTTTTATTGATAAATTTTGCATTCACAATGCTTATCTTTATTGAAAGTTTAAATATTTGTAAAAATATTTCTTTCGGCTGTTTGGATGGATTGCTTAACCATTAATACGCTCTGTAGTAGCGAAAAAATAATATGAAAAATGCTTAAAAAATTAAAAAAGTAGCAGAAAAGTAAGAAGTGCTTGAAAAATTCAACAGTTCTGTTAGTTCCTCGGTAACTCAGTGATTTGAGCAGTCGGCCTGATTTCGAAATGTCCTGGGTTCGAGACCCATATTAAAGTGCCATGGAACAAAGTGGATTTTTTAATCATTTTTCAGTAAGTGATAACTTAAATTTTAGGATGATATTTGATAATACCATCATAAAATCTAATAATATTACGTTCTAGAAATGTATTTCATTGATGCAGTTTAAAGACCGCTGTAAATTATTTTATGAATTTAATCGTACAGTTTCAAGGGTGCTCTGTAGTACCAAAAGAGTAACAAGTGCTTGAAAAATTCAAAAGTATCGCTATTTTTAATAATGTGCAACCAGTTACCCTTTCACCCTCGTCACGTCAATCTATCTGCACGACAGGCACCATCTTTCTTTATAATGAAAAATATTCATAAGACACTCTTCACAGACTTCGTTCATTTGTTGGAACCATTAAATAACATTGAAACAACCAATTGTTAAAGCTTCAATTTAAAGATACGTTACTAGTAACCCGTCTCTGCTATGTGAGCATTTAGTTTATATGTTTTAAGCTCTCGGTCGATAAAATTTTTTTTGACATCTTCAGCGATTCTTGTTGTACTTCAGCCAATTGACATAAAACTTAATATATCTTATCTCATAAAATATCGCTACGTCTATTGATGAAAACTTTCTCAAAATATAAAAACAGTTCGGTAATTTTTAAGTTTATCACGTTCGGACGGTGAGGGAGCTTTGCATTCTAATATGCAGGCAGAGATTTATTAACACACTCGTACATAGGTATATATTATATTTAATGTCTATGTCTCTAATCTATCTATACATAGTATAAAACAATGTCTGTACGCTAAGATCTTTTTAAAGTGGTTTTCAACGATAGATATAGTGATTGGTGTATAATTATGTGTAATACAGAACCACGCTGGTGAAGCCGCTGGCGGAAAGCTGCTAGTATATATAATAGACATTAGTTTTATTTTATCGGTTGATACTAAAAAAATATATATTAAAATTGCCTTTATTCAAGGGCCCATTGGTCGAGACGGCCTGCCTGGTCCCAGGGGGCTAACAGGAGTCCCAGGGCCTGTTGGGCCTCCTGGTGAAGACGGAGACAAAGGAGAAGCCGGACCACCTGGTGAAAAAGGTTTCAAGGGTGCAAACGGCGAACCTGTGAGTATATTTAAGAATATCAGAAACAAAAGTTGACAACTAACATATTGAGTTTTTAATGCTTATTTTCATTTTTCCAACTGTAAGGGCGTTTGTGCACTACACTGAATTTCCAGGTCCAGCGGTCCGATTTTTTCCGGTCTGAAATTATATGAAAAACCCGAGTAGCTAGTGCACTTGTCCGTTTTTTCCGCATCGGAACGGCACGGTTAGGGCAGCTCCCTTTGAAGCTACACGTCACTTACGCTAGGTAGGATGAGATTTTTGATACGTCGGTAATTACCGATGCGATGCTGGCTTTATTACTGTACGTGCGAAGACGTAGAAGACAGAAAACTATTGGGTTCATATATAATGACAGGACCTGACAGGGTCATTTTACATAAACCATAATAAATCGGATGACTATTATCAGATGTAAAAACTTATACCCTTACTAATTTAGGAACAGCATTATTCACATACAATAGCTAAAAATATCTGTGACATTTGAATAAAATTACTAATAATGTTCTAGTACTTGCTGTTTTAATTTATAATCGTGGAATTTTTCATCGAAATTTCGTAAAAACAAATTCAAGCAATTACAGACATAGACCAATCGTTGACGCCATTTCGTAAACATATCGAAATTAGTGCCGTGAAAGCGGAGAATTAATATACTAAATGAACTTTGTGGTGGCATTTTAATCAGCCATCCTATTATATGTTTTAAATGTCATGATTTAACTATAATCATTGTAAGATCAGTTATCTGTATTATACAGGATGGTTAAATTTTAAGGGCCGATGTTGATTTTGAATAAAACATAAATTATTTAGAAAATTATTGTCATTTCTGTTTATTACGATAATATGGTATGGCTCAATTATGTTTGGAACAAAATATCGGCCAAATGACCCCCGCGACCTCGGCGGCACACCTCCATCCGATGGTCCAAATTTTCGATGACACTGAGGCATAATTGAGGTTCTATGCCGTTGATGTGCCGAATTATCTTAGAAAATTTGACAAAATTTGACACACTTTGACTATCGATCATGAGCACGCGCTTAGAAAGCAACTTTGCACTTTTGTATAACAAATAAGTATTATTAATACATATAAAAAGCATTCTTTAGGTTCTAGCCTCTCATTATATCCATGTATTCCGAAGATATGACTGACTCCTTCTAATTTTTAATTTTATATAATATTTTGATTTACCTAAATATTTTAATTAGGGTCCTCCAGGATCCGTTGGTATTCAAGGATTACGAGGAGAAATAGGACCAGTTGGATTGCCTGGAGATAAAGGTCCTCTGGGGGAAACCGGACCACCTGGTGCGCCAGGTGCTGATGGTCCAAGAGGACTTCCAGGTCCAGTTGGACTAACTGGACCACAAGGGGAGAAGGGCCAAACAGGCCCAAAGGGTGACACTGGCGATCCGGGTCAGATGGGTAGGTAAATTCAGTAATATATAGACATGACTTAAAAAATAGAATTACTATTTTAGTTGTTATTAGTGAAAGTTTTAAACTGAAGTAACAAAGAGTAACTTTTAGAGTTTTATGTAACAAATAACCAATCAAACTGCGAAAAACTATGTAAGACAGCAGTTTTAAGATTGAAAAATATGTTAACGACATGCCCTAGAACTAAGTAATAAAATTTAGCAATAGTGGTGGTATTTGTGTGTATATTGCACAGTTATTATAATGACCGCAACTTAAGCGTCAATACGATGCGAAGTTTATATAAAAGAAAATAGCTTACATTCCTATGACCGTATTATGTATTTATGTTATGCAATTTTATATCCTTTTAGGACCGACGGGACCCACGGGTGCCACTGGCCCACTTGGTAGACGAGGACCTAAAGGGTCACCTGGAGAACCAGGACCAAGAGGCGTCGAGGGCCAGCGTGGTGATATTGGCGCTCCTGGAATAACTGGAGCCCCTGGCCCGCAGGGACCTGAAGGAAAATTGGTATACCTTATTCTTCAAAATACCTAGTATGGGCGATTACTTTTGAACGTTATGGAAAATCACTCAAAAAGTTTCAATAAGTTCAGTTTTACATATATAATAATATTATATATATTTGTTATTTGTTCAATTTAGGGACCCCATGGGCCTGTTGGGCCTAAAGGTGACGACGGTCCACCAGGACAACAAGGTGAAACTGGACCAAAAGGACCTCCAGGATCAAATGGTCCTAAAGGCGACATAGGGCCTACTGGCTTACCCGGCGACCGAGGCGAGCCCGGTCCTCAGGGTGTTAAAGGTGAACCAGGGACTGATGGTCCAGAAGGAAGCAATGGACCCCCAGGACCACCTGGGCCAGTGGGACCACCGGGAAAACCTGGTGAAACAGGATTGCCGGGAAATCCAGTAAGAATATCAATCAATGTTTCTTTTAATTGTGATCTCGAAATAAAAAAATAAACCTTATCTCAACTTCGGACTTAAATAAATTAATATTTTTTATTATACTTTATTTCTTGTAATTCTTGTTTATTTGTTAACAAGACTATGCAGTAATAACCTGATGATTAAATTTACAGGGTTCAGAAGGTGCTGCAGGCTTACAGGGAAATCCCGGCATGACAGGGCCAAAAGGAGACGCTGGTCCAAAAGGAGCGCAGGGTGAAACTGGCCCCGTGGGACCTGTGGGACCACCTGGTGAAGTAGGTCAGCGAGGAATACGAGGACCTCCGGGACCTCTAGTAAGATATATTTTTACTACATAACAAACTATTATAAATAACGAAATTTAAGTACACACCGCAGCACTATTAATATTTGAGAGATTTTTGCTATTTTACGAGTACAATAAGCGAGACAAGTCACATTATAATTTGGAAATTGAACTACATAATTAAGATCAAATAGCTAAATACCACTATGTTACCTATTGTAATAACTAAAGATACTCTTAATTTGAAATGCAATAAGTATTTATTTCAAATAAATAAATACACTAAAATTGTAAATATCATTATCGATCTAGTTCGGCAATAATGTGTAAGAATAAACAATTTCTCCTAAAAAAATATCATAAAATTATCAAATCAAATAATAAGAATTGGCGTAATGTGTATGTCGTGGGCAAATCGTTGTATTCGGCCGAAATCAAATCAAGAAATAGCGGCATATCGTGATATGCCCGGGTAGATTGCGTTCGGCCCAATTCAACGATTGGCCCACTACATGTATACTGTAGTAGAAATCTCTCTTTGATTATACCATTGAGAGTTCCATATAATCTTGTTTTTTTACTAGAATATTTACAATTATTTAAATTCATATATTATTACAATAGACATGAAATGCATAAGAACCATATTGACAGGGTGAAACTGGTGCCCCTGGAATGGTAGGACCAATCGGAGCACCAGGTAAAATGGGACCTCAAGGACCGCAAGGACCGAAAGGAGAAAAAGGCAACAGGGGGCCGAAAGGCCACGTTGGAGATACAGGTCCAATGGGATTAAAGGGTGATCAAGGCGAAATCGGGAAGCAGGGACCGCCTGGTCCCGCTGGACCACCTGGGACAAAAGGAGACATGGTAAAGTCATTAATTTTCTTATTAAATTCATACCCTGTTTCTCTTTCAATCTCTTATGTAGAAATACCTACCTATTATTTTTTGCATTAATATTTTAACGAGTCATAAAAGATCTTATAAAAATAAGTATGTTTTATATGTATTCCAGGGTCCTGTTGGGCCTCCAGGTCCTAAAGGTGATACTGGCCCTACTGGAGTACCAGGGCTCGAAGGCGCAATTGGACCTAAAGGAAACCCTGGCCCTGAAGGGAGACCGGGCTTACCAGGCCCACCCGGTTCACCAGGACCCCCAGGTCCTCCAGCATCTGCACCTCAATTGCCAGCTGAATTGTTCTCATCAAGAAAACGTAGAAGCGTAATAAGTGAATCAGTTGAGAGTGTCACAGAAGACGAAATGGAAGAGGGTTAGTGAAAACAATCGAACGAGTATCTAATTTAGAATTTTAAATCTTCACTCTGACAATCTTGATTCGGAATGGTCTTGAATCTTCATGCTATTAATGTTCCCACAGGATTATATTTACACGGGCTATCATTAAAAAAATGTAATTTCATTCCCTGCAATATGCCGCATGTCAACAGGCTTCGCATCTCATTTTCTCGTCATCATTATACATTTTCTTAAATACGGGTAGGTAGTTGTTATAAATAAATTGAAATAGTTTTCTTCCTCGAAAAATAGGTCGAGAGATATGCTCATACAATATCTCACTTCTCACTATCGGTCCCACTCTTGCCGGTTTCTCGAGTTCGAAATGCTACAAGAGATAGTAGGAAGAAGAATCTTAAGGCGATAGGCAACACGTGGTTTTTCGCGCTCTAGCAAAAAGGCTGTTCTGAGCTTCAGAAATGGATAGGGCGACGGAAAAAGGACGAACATTGGGTCAACCAAGGATACGGTGCATCAGAATCAAGAACACAGCACAGAAAAAGTGCAACACAATACAGCATCATAATTATCATCAGTTTATGTCTCCCCTGATGAGGCACAGGCCTTCCCTATGGATGGAATCGAAATGAATTGAATATAGTGAATGCGCAATAGCCTATGACCCACGCGGCCCGGTGCGGATTGGTGGGTATCAACGACTGCAGATGTAGGCGGTACGAGTTGACGTGAAAATAATCTTTTTGGTCACCCACCCTATGACCAGCCTTGCGAAAGTTGCTTAGTTTCCAGATCGTAGACCGAGCGCATTAACCATTGCGCTACCGAGCGCCTCTATGCCGATACGATACAGCATAAGAATAACTAAATGGTGATCATCACCTTACCTTATCTTGCTGATGCCTCAGGCATGAAATTCACCTCTTATGTATCTGAATGCAACAAAGAATAAAAAATTGTGATGCAGAAGACGAGATGGAGTGGGTAATAGAAGTGATGTCTGGCGTGGTGTCAGCGCGCGCCGCACTCGAAACCGCCCGGCACCCGCGCGGCACACGCGCCTCGCCCGCGCTCTCGTGCCGCGACCTCCGCTCTACACACCATAACCTCACCGACGGTAAACTATCACATAACGTTGTATAACATTTTTACCAAACTTCAAAAAAAGGAGGAGGTTATCAATTCGACTGTAATTTTTTCTGTTTGTAACCTCATAACTTTTTATTGGGTGAATCGATTTTGATGATTCTTTCTTTATTTGAAAGCTAGTAGGTACTTGGTCCAGATCTGGCAATGGCATTTATGAGAAAACAATATAAGTCTTAAATTTGCATTAAGTATGCGTGATGTTGGTACCCCAAAACTCAAAATATCAATAAAATGCATGAAATAAATACTTTTTATAAAAAAATGGAACCGACATCAAATTAAAAAAAAATGAAAAATAATACTTATCTTAAAAACGGTTATTTTTTTAAGAAACATTGAAGTTGGGCTGAGGCATTTCCAAAGTTTCTTAATTTTTCCTTTCAGTTCAGAATATCCACTTCCCAAAATATCTGCTTTCCAATTTATTTTCAATTGGAGATTTTGGGAATGGGACATTCTGAACTAAAAGGATGTTTTATGTAAGTATATTCGCGTAGTAAGTATTAATTTTTTACCGCGTAAAGTGTGCGTTTCAAAGTTGGCAACACCCTACATCGGTTTTCGCGGGCTACGTTATTTCTCCGTTCAAGACATTTACTTCAACGGGGGAAAATTCGCACATTTTCTTTCTTTTGTGAAAAATCTTTACACCACACACGCTACACCACTGACAATATTCCTCAGGTTACTACTGGATAGACGCACGGGGAGGAGACAGACCAATTCGCGTCTATTGTAAAGGTCAGCTCACATGCGTACATCCTGACAACACTGAGCAAGCTCTTTACACGGCTAGCGACAAACGTCGTTTCTCGCAACTGGATAAAGGATACAGGGTAACATTACTTATTATTTATTAAGGTTGACTTAAGCAGCTTAAGTAACATACACCAAATCAAAGCAAGTCAGTACTGACCCTGTAACTGACACAAAATTAATTTATACCTATTAGATCAGCTTTTAAAGATGCCATTCATTCTGGAACATTCAAATCAATCAAATCAAAATTATTTATTCAGTCTCGGCTGTTACAAGTACTTGTGAAAGTCGAATCTGATTTATTTCATACTGAAATGTCAGGATTGAAAAATTACTTATTATTATATGAAGTCACTTTCCATCATATTAGAAAATATAAAAAGTATATATTCACTCGTCTATCGATTCACATGCCGAGTCAAACACCGATAAATAATTAATTTAATATACATAAGCATAATAAAATAAAACGGACAAGAGTAAGTAGTCTAGCGCAGACTCACCTCCACAAGCAGCACCCATTCACGAGTTTGACACATGGACCAGCCATCGCTTCTCTAAACTATATTTTAAGGAACGTAACGACCCCACCCCGAGCTATCATTCATTCGTAAAGTACCTACATATTGTAAAGTTGCCATTAATTACATGTATCATTGTTAGAATGACGGAAGATCAACTTAAAATTCTCGTTTTCAAAAGAACCATTTAATAACTAAATCTGAACTAAAATAGGTGCACACAAAATCTGAGATTTTAGCGTTCGAATCCAGGTTGCAATATCTACTTTAGTTTCGACACCTTCGAGATTCTTTTTCGTGATTTTTTATTATTGCAATATTTATATCAATTAATTGTTTATGACTATGCTTACTGATACATTTAGATAACATACGACGGCGAGGGATACGGAGTTATACAATTGCGGTTTCTGCGGTTACTTTCCAATGGAGCAAGACAAAACTTCACATACAGCTGCGTTAGTACCACCACAGTACAAAGGTACTTAATAATTAACATGTGAATAATTTTAATAACAAGATTGCTACCATATACGGGTATCAAACGTAAGGGGACTCTAAACAAGGTAAATCGATATATCAATGCCAATAATGTCCACCCGCAAAAACTTCAGTTACTACGTGAACACGGCGCTTGCAACAGCGCAGAAATGTCAGAAATTAGAAAAATATAAGGTACTGCCAACAGCACGTCAGACTATATGTATAAAACTGTCAAATTTCTCCACTTGATGCTTGATGCAATGCATTGTAGGTAGTTCTAAATCAATTAAGTAAATTTGACGAGGTAGCCTGAGGTGCAGCAGTTTGTGCATGGTGACAATCCCATTTTAAAAGTACCACTAATTATTTATTGCATGAATTTGTCGAATATTTTATTATGTTAGTACTCATTATGTTTATTATTTATTTACTTACTCCACAGATCCGATATACCTGAAGAAATCACGAGATCAAGTAACATCAAATTATTTGGCTACAATTCCGTCGAATTTAAGGAACCAAAAGTTATAAAAGATAACTGCAAGGTAAGTTCAGCTGCATATACTTCGGTTAATCATACCAAGTTCAGTCATTTCTTCAAGTACCCCAAAATTAATAACCGTCCAAATAAGCTGTAATTGAATTGATGAGGAAACTAGATCATACTCCATGACCAATGAACGCCAAAGACGGACACAGGTACTTCCTATCTATGAGCACCTCACTGGAGCGTGCCAAGCACGAACAACGATTAGTATCTACGGGACGATAAAATATAGTTTACTCGTACGAATTAACATGACACTAAAAGGCCTATTCTATTTCTCCGAAAATGAAATATCGTCTATTTTCGAAACGCGGGCAAACAACTCCAAAGTTTTGCTTACCGTTTTGCTCAGGACCGCCATTTGATAGAGCGAGAAAGATAGCGGGTGTGCGATAGTACCACATGAGTAACCTGTGTTAGTACACCGCAGAATCCTCCAGGCGATAGATACGCTTTCTCCTAACTCTAACAAAAGGTGATACTGAGCGATAGAAGAGAATAGGGCAATGAGAAAAGGGGATATTGTATTGCCAGATGTAACTCAACCTTAAAACTAGTAGTTTCCCGGTCGTTGAAATTCGATAATATACTTTGAACATTATTACAGTTTTCTAGGGTGAGCTATCTTGTACTTGTTCTTTTTATCAAATAGGTACTATACCTACCTACTTCTATTGTTATACGTATTTATTGTTTGATATTCAGTTAATATATTTTTAAAATATTATTTTAAAAAATTATCCCGCACTCCTTTATCATATTAACTTTAGTTGTACCTACTAATTATACAAATCCGACCACGTTTTCTCAATTTTCTTAAAAATAGTGTCAAACTCGATGCTCCAATAAATCTATTAGGTATACATTGTATTGTTGATCGAAGTACCACACAGAATAACTTATCATACAAAGTCGAAAATTAACTTACATGCTATTCTACGCTACTCACATATGACGACCTCCGTAGCCGAGTGGATCGCACGCCAGTTTGAAACTGTTGCTATTTCTGTGGTCCCGATCTCGCTTCCCGGTCAGGTCAATCAAGAAAATGAACCTTTCTATACTGTCGCGGGTCTTTTCAACATTGTCGTACCTTCGTTCTCAGATACTTCTTTATTACGGTTACTAATCTTGGAATCTGAGCAATGTGTATAAAGTTGTCTAATATTTATATACTTTCTTTGCAGGAAGGCGTGGGTGAAATATCATTGGAAATACGAACTTCTAGAATCGAGAAGCTTCCCATTAGCGACTTCCAGCCTCCGTCCTTCGGCGACGCCAACCACCAGTTCACATTTACAGTGGGACCCGTTTGTTTCACATAAATCCTCATTAATCATAAGGGTAGCTTTAACATTATGTACTTAAGACTGGAACCTTGTAAATATTGTAAATATATTTGTGACGACTGCTATTGAAGTTTCATTTCATTTTTTTGTTACTAAAAATAAATTAAAGAGGAAAGGTTTCAAAAAAGGTTTATTTGTTTGCAACGAATAGGCTCCGAAACTGGACCGATTAAAAAAATCTTTCACTACGGGAATCTTTCTGTCACATCATATGCGGTGAACATATCCATTTATCGCAAATGAAAGAGTTGTGGAAACAGTTTTACACTATAGGTACGCAAAATGGGTTTATAACCATGTTTAAATAAAAATAAAAACAAAAGTTCGATCTTAAAGAATCTATATTTAATGTATCAATCACCATTCACATAAAGTTGTGAAAATCGAATGATAGTTAATTTACAATGACGTGGTAATTTAACTTAAAATATTACTGCTACATAAATTTACGATTATTATGAAATCAAAAATTTTGCGTAGCCAATACACATTTATCTTGTAAAATCATAACTTAAATTTATACGTAATTAAATTATCTTTTCTCGGGTTCATATTCCAAAATTACCTTTGGTTCTCAGACTGTATATTCAAACCGATACTTTATACACACGAAACACAACTAAATCACGCGTCATTTAAAGTATAAGTGTTTATAAATGCAACCAGCGCAGTTGTTAGGTTATCATTTTATTTTGGTATTAACCTCTTTTAGCCTAACTGTACACTATTCTTGCATCGACGATAGTATCGTTAACAGATTTCTCATTTTTTTTATTATATTTTATTTTCACCATTAATCACGGGATCAACGAACTCTCACTCGTTGCATATCGCCATAGTTTTCGATGTTTTGATAAACATTGACTATATTTGTTAACATTGTGAAAGAGCTAAGGATTTACGATTCATGATATAATATTTTAATTTTATCCTGTAGAATGGCGATTGAACTTATTTCTTGCCGTGAAGATAAATGTCGTTTTCCGAGTAAAATAGGGTTAACGACAATTTTTTTTTTTGTTTGTCCGTCAGGTAGATTATTGAAAAACATTAAACACGTATTTTTTTGCGTAATCATTAAATACGAAGATACATTGAGCTGAAATGTGTCATGACGTCACGCTTTTATTCAATTACATTTTCAACTTTAATGCAAACTATTTCTTGTTAAATTGAAGTACAACTAAATAGACTTCCTTTTTTTACCTAGGCATCATCTCTATTACTACATATCGAGCAATAACAAAGTACTTCTATAAACTGTACATATAAATTAGCATTGTTTACATAGCATAAATTAGCAGAAGATTAGTGAATAAGTTAGATGTTGATATTTGTGTTATATAACGCTATTTTTCTGATCATATCATTTTTTATCTCTATTTAAATTAAACTAATTGTCAAATTTTAATAATTTATTTTAACAGATGTTTATATACTTCATAGACGCGAGCGCAGCATCATAAAACATAGACCTTATCACATGACAATACAACAAAAACTTCAAAAATCGTTTTTCTTCATGTCAAAGTTAATACTCGTAAATTTTTAACGTCTGATGCATAAAAAAAAAACAGATTATTATTATCTTTGGGCGTAATTTTTAGCGCCCTTTGACAATCCAAAAGAATGAAACCTTCAACAGATTGCGCCGTCCAAGGGTTGATATTATTTTTAATTTTGTAAAATTACAATCCTATAAACGTACAACTCTGAAATGATTTATCTATATCAGAAATCAAAAAGTCGGATGGGAGACATTCAATCCTCATATTGAAAAAAACATATGACAGACAAGTAGGATAATTAAGCTTAAGGTAAAAAAAAATCTCTCACTTAACATTTAACAATAAACCACTTCTGAGATATGTAGCCAAAAACAACTTAAATTTTGCTGTAGGATTTTTTTTTAATCACAAATGATTAAAATTGACAAAATCATACACATTCTTTTTTAAACTACTGACATCAGATATCAAGGCGAAAAAAGCATGTCCCTAAAAACATCATAAATTACTGTATCCGGAATATTTTACAACATACCACATTTTATTTATAGCTCTTTATTTTTCTTGATATATTATATACCGTAAGAATAAAATAGTGCACTGAATAAAGACTAACCATGTATAAAAAAGATATTATAATAGATAATGTATAATATTACATGTATAATAGATAATACACATTTTATTGTAAGAAGAAAAATATTTCCTGTCAGTTTGCTGTGTAATAATAGCTCCTGACTGAGTTTCGTCATATTAATAGATCTTTATATATCATATAATTTTATAATATTGCATCATGTTCATTGAATGTTAAAAAACATGGTAACAAAGGCAAAAAGTAATTAAAGAACAGCACTATAAACTTAATCATTTTCTAATGATTTATCAGTTCCAAACTTCGTTTTTCACTTATATATGGTATTATTCATTTTACCAAAGACATCCCCAATATAGCAAACTTTAATAGGAAAGACTATAGATCTTTCTTATGAAACTTAAATTCAGATACTTTTAAATAATTTAAGAATTATAAACTTTCCAAATTATATGGTAGGAAGTGCAAAGCTTTTATATCTTTTGCACGAGCGGGCGCGGTCTTTGCGGTTAATTAGAGTCGCCGCCACAAGTATTTCTCTCCTTTTCTAACCGAGATCATATGACAAGATATTTATTCTGTTAAATTAAATATACAGTTCTCACTGTTATCTTCACATAATAAAATTCAATATCAAATATATCTTCGAACTATGGAGTTGTAATTTTTTCTTTTTCATTCGCTGATGGACTATTCACTGAAATCGTAGATTTTATACAATCTGCTGATTCTTCAGTACTTTCAACAATATCCATCGACTTATTTGCATTATTTATATTCGATGTAGAGGTTGTTGTAATAGTATCTGATAAATTTATATCGATATTAGCAGATAATTTATCACTATCGGGAATCTTTTCAGCAGGTTCAGCATCATTAATTTCCAATTGCAAATTTGTAGAGTCTATCAAAGTAACATCATTCTGCTTTTCAATGGAATCACTAACTATTGGGATATCATCTCTATTGTTTTCACTTAATTCATCTACAACACCCGTCGATATAGTCACACTTTCAATCGATATCGTATCTTCTTGTAAAGGTTTGCTTGTAGTATTTTCCTTTACTTCTTCAACAAGCGTGTCTCCTATAGATATAGTATCGTCCTTTAAATTGACGCATTCTTCTTTATTAACAGGTGTTATAGGATTATTAGCATCTTCGGTTTCATCATCAGATGATGCCAATAAAATATCTTCTATAGATTCATTATATTCATCGTTATTGGTTATTACTCGTTTCCTTTCATTAGAAGTTGTGGAAATACCATCTTTTTCCTCTGTACACGGTAAGCCTTCTGAAACATGTTCAGGTATTTCCTCTTCATCTTCATTAACATCTGCTACCTGGTTATTTACTTCAGATTCAGAGTAACTAGAATTTTCAATACTTATTACACCACTGGCTTGCTTTGCACTATCTTCACTTGATCCGAGAGTGTCAGATATGGCTATAGGTGTATCACATCCAGATGTATCTGACATAGTAGAATTTATTTCATTTCCAGAATGTAATTTCTGTAGCAAATGTAGTTCGTCCACATCGGATTCTAGTTTATTGCTATCATCACTAAGAGAATGAATTTTCTCAACATCATGTTTTGAGTTATCTTTAAGAACTGTATCATAATTTGTAGTTTTATCAACTGATTCATTTTCATTGACTTCAACTTTATTATCGAATATATTATTTTCGTTAATTTCTGTTCTGTCTGTTGTAATAACTTGGTTTTCTTTATTAGCTTCACTTTTATCATCTTGTACATCCGTTTCTTTTTCTACAATACAAGATTCATCGATATCGTTTGTAGTTATGATATCACTCAACTTATTTGCTTTCTCAACATCATTATTTTCAGCTTTTTCTAAAATATCACCATCAGTCGTAATATGGCTAGTAGGAGTAGGCGATGTTCCTTCACTCGTCTTTTGAGATTTTTCTTGTAATAGTCTTTTAAGTCTTTCTTTTCTTTTATCCGTATTATGCAAGGAGGATTCATCAATAGTATCATCGTCATCACTTTCAATTGGCGATTCATCAGCTTCTTTTTCACCTATTTCTTCAGCTTCTAACTTTAATTGACTCTGTCTATCAGCATACCTACAATAAAAAATAGAAAATTTAATGTTATGAAGTCTAAAAGACATTCAGCAAATTATATTTCAATAATACTTACTTATTGAGGACTTCAGTTTCTCTCTTTGATGCTGTTTTCTTGTTTTCAGCCAGTTTTTGCTTTAGTTCATCACTCTTTTCTGCAGGGTCTGCATCTATTGTTATTCTAGAAGCTGCCAATCTCCATTCATTTTCCTGTCGTCGTCTTTGTAGTTTCTTACCACATCTCGTGAATAAATCGCGCGCTAAAATACAATAAAATATATAATCATTTTTATAGTACACACAAACGACTGACTAAAAATATAAAGAAATACCTTCTTCCATAATATCAGCTTCATTCCATCCGAGCTTATCTTCATCATTAGCTTCCCTCACACATCGTAACACATCATGAAAATCAGGAAAAGGTAACGGAGTTCCTATGGGAACTTTCTTATTTATCCACTTCTCGAGCTTCTTAGCGGGTCCCTTTGGTTGGCCAGGGCGTGCATCAATTTGCACACGGGGCTCCGATGGCATTTTTGTTTTGGTAAGTTGACAAAATTTCGCATGCACTCTTACCATTCTCTCTTTGTATCTGGAAGTAGAAAACCGAAGGCTTATGTAAAGTAGATTTACAATATTTTGCCTGTGTGTATGATCTAAAATATATCGACAATTTAACATTATATCTCTCATGCAGATGAAGAAGAGTCTATATTTGTATTTAGCTAATGCTTTCTGGCTCTCAACAAATATTAAATAAAATTTTAATTTCTTTAAGCTTTTATGAGAATAAATCGTTTCAAAGAACAAGAAAATTTATATACTCAATAATTAATACAGAATAATGTATTGGTATTTACTTCAAACAACCAATAATAGTAATTACATAATATCAAAGAAGATAAAATATTTTATTAAAGTTAAATATAATAATTCTAAGAAGACTTCTTCTATGTAGTTTATAATACTTTTACATGCAAACTCATTAAACTAACTAACATTAAATTATGTTTCTAATCTCTATTCATACAGCCATTTGGTTTTAAAACTAAATAGCCCATTAAAATTAACGTTCCACCTTAGAATGAGAGGTATAAAAGTTACCTTAAAAATCTACCAGCCCCAGGTAATATTCTATTAAAAATATTTTTAGTAGAGCATTATGAATGCAATATTTATCAAATATGATAATAAGAACAAATTTTCATCTTTGTCTGAACATTGATAATTCGCTCACTGGTAGTGAAAAGTAAGTAACATGTGCATTGTTTTTTTTCTTGGTAGAAAGGTTTTAGGTTTCGGGAGCCATCTTGAGGTGACTGGTGCCAGTGGATTTTTTTATAATTTTTCATAAAAGTTAGATGTTAACATCATTATAGCGACACAAATTAAGATATTGAAAAACCAGTTGATCTTTAACCTTGAAATATATTTTGATGCAGAACCGAGGTATGAAACTCTTGAGAGGACATTTAGGATGATAAAATTAACGTGTATACGAATTTCCAGTTATTATTCTGGATGAGAAGAGAATGAGAGATTCTAAGGTCGATCGTTTTTGTGCTAATTTAACTGGACTAAAAGTTCAAATGACTATTTAAAAACAAAAGATGCTTCAATAAAAAAAGTATGGAAAATGAGTTAGGGCCTTTTCCGTCCAGAATAGCAGTCCATAATTATCAGTATCAAAGTTTACAGTATAAAGGCAATTGTCTTTAGAGGTGAACTCAAACCTACCCTCATAGAATCTATCGAAAGAATATAGCTTTAGAAAAATCCCAAAGCTCTAATTATTAATATATCAGTTTTGAAGAAGCCTCTATAGACTATTATTAAGAATGAAGCTAATCTAGTAACATGGTATTCGCTACAGCGCGAAAGATAGCGGCAAAAAGTTGCCTATTGGCGATATCTTTTTCGCTTTAGCAAAAGGCGGTTCTGAGCGACAGCAAAGGCAACGGGAAAGGGCGATGTCATACCGCCAGATGTAGTGCAACTCTAATACGTCCAACAAGAAATGTACTACGAAAAATAAAAGCATTAAGGATATAACCGAATGAGATAAAGGGGCTTCTAAACGGGCAATATTTTTCAAGCAATTAGTAGCTGCACTATCGACGACTTATTGCCATCGCACAAATATTTTTTTTCCTTTCCTTTTAAAACAATATCGGCAATATCAAAAATATGGCCGGTATATAACTGCAACATTGCATTACCTGGTTGACCACTGAGTTGCAGCCATTAAATTATCCGTTTAGAAGCGCCTTTATACAGATACGTCATTCAACTTTACTATTATTTCTACATTTTATTTTACTCTTTACAACTGAACATAATAAAAATATCAAATGCTAGGTACAATTATGAAATTAAAAATATTTAACATTAAAATGTCACATTAAACTAATTATACAATAAAAAATTTAGAATGAGGAAGTATTTAAAAAAAAGAAAGCACTAAAAAAGCAACCCCACTAGATGGCGACTCTAGCAAAAGTTGATTTTTGCAGGAAACGAATGGATCAAAGACAAACATTTTCGTTCTTTTTAACTAACATATTAAAAAACTGAAATTTGAAAAGTTCGAAACATAGATATCAATACAAATACGAAAAAGTACAAATAGAATATGAGTTGTTTATTGAGTTTTGAAAACTAATTTACCTTTATACATGAAAGAAAACCGGAAGGGTTGTCATGGAGAAATCAAGAACGTACCGTAGCGACATCTAGTTTGATTTGGGGAAATATATATTATTTTTTTAATACTTGCTCATTGAGATATTCTGCTATTAAAATACTAATAATGAATACCCAAATGAATTAATAAATATGGAATATAAAAAAATCCTAAATGTGTCTAGTATAGAAAAGGGATATATTGACAAACACCATACATTTGCCATTTGGATTTTTTTTAAATATAATTTCACACGTATTTATGCCTACATTCTGTTACAATGTGTCCCCAATTCTATTCCGTATACCTACACACCACTTATCCAGAGCTTTTACTGAACATGACAAAGGTTTTATTCATGTTTATATATAAATATTACCTGGATGGTACTATCCAGGCAAGGCAAGCTTTGCTTTATTGTATATGAAACCTAGTTAGATCGATTTATAGTTCCGAGAATCAAATTCTACATATACAAGAATACGGGTGTAGACAGTAAAGGAAAATACTCGTAAATACATATTATGCTTATCACACTTTTATGATTATTATGTTTAGGTACAATATTGCTTAAATTAATTATGAGAAAAACAAATATTTTATATTCGTTGTCACGTGACTGCAAACAGCGCGTGACGTCACACTCCTATTACTCATGTCAGAACTTAGAGAACCAACCTTATGCATACATAACACGATATTAGTTTCAACGCTTTAAAGTAAATTCACTCTTAAATAAACCATTTAAGGTTGATGTTTGAGCTACTCGCTTCACAATATCCGCGATCACTAAGAAGCGGCGATCTCAGTTCGCAGCGAAACTTAGACATCTTTAAGAGATCAACGCTTTATATTGACGATCATGTAATGCAATTTTAATAACCGAATATAATGTAACGCATAATGTAGACCGTTTTAATAATATGGATCGCTAACAATGCAACCTTTTATGTGTGAATAAAACAACAATAGGATGTCAGTATACGTGTGAATGAAATAGATATGTTTGTACGTTCCGCGTAGTTCGGCTATCATAGAGATCAAGTAACCAACCCAAAATTAAGCATTATCGTGTTTGCATAAGAGTAAAAGATTCGCTTTGTCCTTACAGCGTTGTGGAAACAACTAGTTATCAAAATAGACAGTTTTGATATCGGTGATTGGCGATTCGATAGCGGTTGCGTTACGTGAAACTGGATAACGACACATCGCTAGTCGTGACATCATAGCGAGGCCATGATAAAAGTGGCGATATCGCGGGAAATTTTAAAAATAAAATTTAATTTTAAATTTAAACTTATTATACGAATGATACTTTTTTAAATATTCTTATATATATTTCATATATACTTATGAAATAAAAAAGTTTTCTACACCCCTATTGCTCGTTTAAAGGCATTAGATATACTATGCAACACTACTTATGTCAGAACCATTACCTGAGAGTAACAAATTACCCAGTCAATCACACACATCGTAATATAAAACTAGTTCTCTAAACGGCTCTAACAACTAGCATAGGCTGACATGTTAACCTTTTCCAGTTCAATATTGAAGACATGTATAATAATTTTATGAAAAACTAATATAAAAGCAAAAACATTCTAAAATTTTTTTCGATGTGGTTAAGTATCCTGCTGTAGTAAGTAGGCTATTTCAAGTCATAGCAAAACTACTTTTCTCTCTACCAATTCCCAAATCAGAAAATTCCCAAAAAATTACTTGCTGTTTATAGAATGAATAAAAATTAAGTACCTTCCAGAACTGCTCAAAAACAAAGATGTATAATGACGAGAGCATTTATAGGAAAAAGACATTAAGAAATAAGAATAGTTTATAAAAAAATTACCTACGCACTGAGGATGTGAAAACAACAAATAAAAAGCAATGGTAAAAGAGTGGTTGAATACCTCACCAACGCACCTTTGTAAAAGAACTTTAGGATCTTTCAGAAACTGTTTATCACTATCCTTATTGGATGTACAGCCATCGTCACTGTATACAAAAAAATCAATTATAAATTGGGAGTGGAAGGTTACTTGAGTATAATTTAGAAATCATCACATTGTCGAAAAGAATCTGTTAATCTATCATTATAATTTGTACACAAAATACATAATTATATGGTAATGTTTTAGAATCATAGTACAATTATACAATGTTATGAACAGAATTTGTCATTTCTATTTCAATTTTATCACACAAAAAGTAAAAAATGATCCAGACCTTATTTATTTAGTGTCATTTATAAATATGGTTAGTAATCATATTTAAAATTTATTTGAAACACCAATAAATATATAATCAATGAACAATATCAGTTAAATTAGTGATAAAGTAGCAAAATAAATATAAAAACTTAGAAGTAAGCCTTTAAACATAACAGAGATTTTTATACTTGAGTTAAATGCCATAACTACCGATGCCGTTCTAACATATAAACGCACTAAATCCTCAATAGGAATACCAAGTTTTTAATGAAGGGTTAAAGTATTTTAGCTACATGTCTATTATGCACTTTTAAGCAAAATAAAAGCCCATTTGGTCTAAATGGTGCTTTATCCTTTGAAACTGGAAGTATTATATTAATTTTATACTTATTGAAGATAATATTAAAATATGAGTACAACTTACCTCTCTGTGAGCAAATAAACAGAATCTTCTTCATCATCGAAGTCAACTTCTTGCTCCTCTAATTTTTGTATAGCTCTATGGAGCTTTTTGAGTGTTTTTTCCAGTTTACGAATTTGTCTTTGCCTTTTTGAATCATATTCATTATCTTCACTATATAAAAATTTGTTGGCTTCTAAAATAAACAAACGTCAATATATTCATTGTACGGTTGATATCTCAGGTCCCAAGTTATACTTTTAATGGGTTCAATGTAAAAGAAAAAGTTACTATGCAGCAATTTAAAATGTTAACATTACAAGTTAAAATATTATTTTAACTTTGCATTTAAGGTGTTTATATAATTTAATTTATAATAAGGTTTAATAAGATATAAATTGTAAAGCAATCAAATTCATGTGAGTTCACAAACACTTAAAAAAATCACACAAATACAAATTCCATACTTAATATCAAATAACAAAAGGTAAAGATGTTTACCAGATGCTTTAGCTTCAATATTACTCAAAACCTGCGATTTTGCCATTTTCCTTTGCAAATTCAATTCATCAACAATATCTTTAATGTACAAATACATTTTCTCAGGACTAGCCTTCATTGCCACAATTTTACTTGACACCATATCAATAAATTCCTCAGACTCTGTATAACTTTTAGGCACCTGTCTATAATAGGTTTTAATTTTCTTTTCAACAATCTTTTTCATGTCTTCTGAATTCTCTAGTTGGAAACATAGCGAAATAAAATTTTGATAAACAGGGTGGAATTCACAATCCTCTTGTAGGTTTAGTGCTGGAATTGCTGTTGATAAATCAGGTCTTGATTTATCTTTTTTTGGTGTACTCATACCTGTACCTTGTACCTTTAATGGGGATTCTTCAATCTCAATAATATTGTCCATCACTTCCTCTTTTTTAGCATCTGTTTCAACAGATGTTACACTTTGTATACATGGAGCAATTTCTATTTCAATTTTTTCAGGAGCTATATCAATTTCCTTTGGATATTCTAATTTTTTCTTACTATGCTTATCTTTTTTGTTTGGATCATCTTCTATATCACTACAGTCTGATTTTTTTTCTGTAGTCATCTTAACAGGACTATCATCAATTGTAACAAAAGATTCTACCATAACTTCAAGAGTTTTTTTGTTTGGAGGTTTTACAGGGCTGTCCTCAATTGTGATTTCAACATATGCTGGCTTCTCTGGTTCTTTGTTATTGATTTCTTCTGCTGGAAAAGAATCTTGATCTTCTGGCCTTACATACCATTGTGGACCAGCTGTAGAAACAGAAGTTGAATCATCATCATCTAGTTCAACAGTCAAAACTTCACCAGCAATTGGTTTAACAACACTGTTAATTTTCTGTTTTTTATGAACAGGATTTATCACATTTATCGGCCCCCTTTTCATAGAACCAGAGGTTTTTGTTATTGTTATACTTGGGGGTAACCTGTTAAGAGTTCTCGGACTATGTATCTTAATAGGAGTTTTTAAGCTGCTACTCCCAGAAGCCTTATTATTTGCAAATTGAGAATTATACTTATCTATAAAATTTATAGGATTAATTGAATGTTTATTCTGAATCACAGGTTTTTTCTGAATCATAGGCTTATTCTGAATAACCAGTTTATTCTGAATTACAGGTTTATTCTGAATGACAGGTTTCGGTAGTTGTATGAAGGCTGGTACTGCTTTCTTTATTTGTTTTCCATTCATTTTGTTTATAGCTGCATATGGATTTGTAACAATGTTACTGGCCTTAGAGATTTTCCTGATAGTAACATTTTTTCCAGCTAACTCTTTAGGAATAACCATGTTGTTAGATCTCGCCGGTTTAATAGTCACACCATGAATTTTATTGGGAATATGAACCATAGCATTTGGCATAGGTTTCATCTAAAACAAATGAAAGTGTTTAAATAAGGGATCAACTATGAAACAATATGAATTAAAATAAAGATCAAATTAATTTACCTTTTTAATAGGTGGCTCCGTTTCATCCTCAGAAGATCCTAACTCTATCACGTCTTCACTAGCCATTACGGTCGGTGATCGACTGATCAATTTCAATTAGAAAAAGTTATATAGTCTTTACTACTACTCATTCTATTTGTGCGTATGATCAGTAAATTGTTTTTATGTGTGGTAATAAATTGATATTTTATTATTTCTTGAGTTACAATTTTTGCAGATAAAATACGATGCAAATTGCAAACGACAAACAGTTTTTTTTTTAATTATATTTATTTAGGGATGGTTATATATGGGAAAACCGATATACCGATAACGATATATTTAAGCACAAAAGTAACGATTTATATCGATTTGATATCGATATAAATCGTTACTTTTGTGCTATAAACAGCGATATCGATGATAAATCCAACATATCGTAAGTTAATATTAAATGAAATTCTAAGAGTACCTATTTCACATGTTATATGATATTACTAACATGTGTGACATTAGGTTAGATAAGGGGCTCCAATTTTCCGCATTTAAGACATATATATGTTCTCGATGTGCTGCCAAGCTCTCGTAATCCAAAATAGCGTGAGCGATGGTTTCTTATGTTGACACACAAGCCCTGCAGAAAGAACTATCGGTGACACCTATGGTGTGGAGGCGTTTGTTGAGAGAGCAGTATCTAGTTACGGTACTCACAATTGTGCGAAGATCCTTGATGACCTTCCAGATCATACGGAGCAGCTACCCTGGCTAATTTCGTTTTGGGTTGCGGTATAGCTTCTCTTGATTGTCGAAAGTTACCCGCTTGTGCCCATCATTGTTTCTGTTGCGCGAACGTGCACTACCTTAACAATGACCACCGATGATAAAGGTAGTGATACCATAGGCGTGACTCCTGGCAAGCTGGACCACTTCCTGGTAAGTTTGTCCGCAGCATCATTGCCAATGGATCTGCTGTGTCCTTTTATCCACTGTAGGGTTATGTTGTTTGTCACGGTTAGTTATTGTAGGCTTTTGTGACATTCGTAGATTAATCCAAAGTCCATGATCGTTCCCAGTAGCAGTGTCCCCCCCCCCTTCAGGTTGTCCTCATTTGTCTACGGGGCCTCCAATTTATAATTTTTAAATTAATTGCTTCGACAACGTTTACAATGCCAATGAGTTCGCATTGGAAGATTAATGCGTTTGGCCCTATTGATACGTGTATGTTAAGGTCAGGTGAGGGGCCAGCTCAAATACCATAATGGGGTTTTAATACATCCTAAGTTCCTTAATGCTGGAGTAATCTTTGTGTAGATTCTTCCAGCTATATTTTGTATTTCTTCTCGAAAACATATTGTTTTGGAATTCTGTCATTAAGCGCTTTGATGAGTGGCTCATATTCAATGGCGTCTTCCAGAATTCTCCTATGATCTTTCTTACTACGTGACCATAGTTTGACTGTGTATAATATGATCATCGCAGCGGTCGCTTCCAGTAGAATGAAATAGTCGAGTGGAGGGAGGCACAGCATATTTCCATGGCTGCCGTAGACGTGATTGTTGTATACATCCAGTGATGGCGCAGCAAGCTGCCCTCTGGAACTTTTCGAGTTTATCTATGGCAGTTGCAATTTTTTTCTGGGCCACCAGACAACTGCGCCATATTTAATTTGTGGTGTGATTACGGCTACGATTAACCATTGGATTATTTTAGGCGATAGATCCCATTGACTTTGTATCATTCGTGTGCATTGACCAAATGCAATTAGAGCTTTGCTCGTCTTGTATTCAAGATGTTTATTTATTTTGTTTTTTGTTATAGTTATTTTGAATTCAAGATGTTTATATTTTTTTATTCCATAGTAATTTGTTGTCTAATATGACTCCCAGGTATTTGACCTCTGTTGGTAGGGTGAGTGAAATATCTATATTCCAAATAGTTTTGGAAGTCTTCAGCGTTTATTCGTTACCAACATTATATCTGTCTTCAATAGCCTTTAAGCCGTAAATGCCGCATCATTCTTCGAATATCTGAAGTAACACTGATTTTTTGCTTTGAAATTTTTAAGTAGTTTTTATTATTATAATTTTTACTTAATTTCAATAGGTATAAAGTGTTATTCTCGATCTAATCGCATACTTTTTGAAGTAGCAATAAGATATTTTCCCATTGTTATCAGAAGCATGCCTTCTAAATGCCTTTTTTAGAAGCAGCATGCGAAGAATGACAAGGTCGAGGAATGCTTTGTCTACCCCAAACGTCACGTTTCTCAGGTCAAGTGTAAGGGCGCACCGGGAAAAAGTGACATTTGGGTGTAAATAAAACTCGAGTTTTTCATGCTACGCGTGCGGAATCCAACATTACACAGGCAGTAACAGGCCAATTTTTTAAATAGGAACTTTTATGATTAAATATATTTTAAAGAATTATGAATGCTAAATTGATTAAATATGAGATTTTTGAATTTACTTAAACCCCAAAAAAGTAATATATCGATATAGACTGTAACCGATATATATCGAACTCAATAAATCAATAGTTTTATGAAATTGCATCTCTATTTTATTTATTCTTGGCCATGAATACCTACATTTCAGCCCGACGATGAGTGTTGCCCTTAATGTGAACAGATATTTGTTTTAGTTTAGTTCCCACCATAGATAATACCAGATAATACATAATACTGGTTCTCACTAAAATAACACTTTAGGTTACTATATAAAAAACTTGAAAAGTGAATTTCAATTATAAAAACACAGTTATTCAATTTCTGAAAAGCAAATTCTTTTTATCGGATCAATGTAGTGTTACACGTTTAACGCTCTGAAGATCGAAAAATAAACGATGGTTTTCATTTGAATATACCATTTGAAGTTAGTTGGCGCTTGGGTCATCACATAATCTATAAAATATTAGTTTTCCGAGTTAACTCTTTGATTGTACTTTAATTATAACTAAGTAATTGGTCTGTAATCGAAGAATAATTTTAACCAATGAAGAAAATGTTTAAATTGACAATCTTTCGTTCTTTCCATTTATTGGATTAATGGCTGTCATTTATGAACGATCAACAATATAGCGAATGAGAGTGAGAGAATCTAGCGTTTTTTGAATGAACAAAAAATTTGCTGTCAAATTAAATAGTGCACTCATTTCTAATTTCTATTTATCGATTAGATTAGGAAAATGATAAAACTTTTTTCATTAAAACAACAAAAAAAAGATGAAGAAGGCACTGCAAGAGCTGGAGGCTCTCAGAAAAAAGCATCAGCAGCGCAATTACGGATCACTAAAGGTAAGTATGCATTAAATTGAAACACAGATGTCTTCTTTTCATAGATTCTTGTGTTGTGATAAAATCATCACAATGTGAGGAAGAAAAATATTTAGGTTTCGTAAAATATTATCTATTGAAATATTTTGATGTAGCTTTGACTTTTGCAGTTCTTCTTTAGACAAGATTCTATATAATAAGCACAGTTAAATCAGGAATTCAAAATATAATAAAATAAATAACTTTTATGTTTTCGTTATTGAATGTCATTTTGGTTGCTTATGAGCAACATTAGGTATAATATTAGTCTCACTTATGATTATAGTATAATATAACAAAGTTGCTAATTTCTGTCAATTTTGTTACAGATTTAAATGAATTGAATTTACCAAAAACCTGCAGCACAGAGTTTCCAGACCCCGATGACTTGCTTAATTTTAAACTAATCATATGCCCCGATGAAGGATTCTATAGAGGTGGTAGATTTGTATTTAGTTTTAAGGTAAGTAATCGGTAAAAATTATAGATCCTATTCTATTATCACTAAATTGTTAAAAGATATTAAGATAAATTAATTAAATTGAATTTATAAAATTGTATATGGTACTATACAGTAATAGTAATAACAATATGTTTGTTATTATGTTACAATGAACCACAGTTACATTTTCATTAAAAGTATTGGATATAATTATTAATCAGATAATATTTATGACAGCAGCTATATTTTCTGATATTCCCAACTTGACAAAGAATGTGAAGATGACATCTGACTATGGAAATTTACATGTGGCGGTTTAAACCACGAACTTACAGTTTTTGAAAAAAAAATTGAATTGATCATTGTCAAAAAAGTAAAGTCGGCCAATCATGATTTCGTACCATTTTAGTTTTATGACATTTACTTAATGCAGTTTCAGTTTAAGCAAACAAGTTTAAAATAAACAAATATTTGGAGTATTATAATTAAGTATTTTCACCCTCATATACAAATTGCAATTTTTCATAATTAACTGTCCAGTTTCTCATGGGCTCCATCCGGACTACTTTGGGAATCAATGGTATATTGATATAAAAATAAAAATAAATTAAATAGAACACTATTAAACAAAAGTAAAACAATTGCTTTTCCTTCTTCCAATTTCAGGTAGGACCAAACTATCCCCATGAACCGCCCAAAGTGAAATGTGAAACGGCTGTGTACCACCCTAATATAGATTTGGATGGTAATGTCTGTTTGAATATACTCAGAGAAGACTGGAAACCAGTACTCACAGTTAACTCCATAGTTTATGGACTTCAGTATTTATTTTTGGTAAGTCACTTCTCAAATATTTTGACCTGTTTTATCTATATTGAGAATAACTAAACTATTATACAGTAGAACCTCGATAACTCGGTACCTCGGAACCTCGGTAACTTAAAAACCTCTGTAACTTCAAAAAATAATATGTTCCCTTCCCATCAAAGCCCAAAACCTCAATAACTTAAAATACGCAACCTCTGTAACTTTAACAAGTAATCTCTGTATTGGCCCTCAGTAACTTAAAGAAATGCTTCCACAACCTCTATAACATAAAATTGTTTGTTAATGAGTCATTCGAAAGGGTGCAAAATAAAAGGTTTAGATATTTATTGCTTGCACGTGTACACTAGTTAAATTGTTAACATAAAAATACATATGTCACTTCTTAAAATACATATATCACACTATTGTTTGCTTCTTCGAAATTCTTTAAGTCGGTTTAGAAACTGTAAATTGTTTAAAACAAAAAAAAATCACAGACACCATTTAATTTAACGTGTGCAATGTGAATAAATAAATATGATTATTTAAATTTCTGTATTTTATTGAACCAGTCCTTCTGACGCATTTACGTAAAAATAGGAACAAGGGTACATACATACATATATACACACCTACCTCTATATTAACCTATCCCTAACATAGACCCTTGATAACTTTAAATCTCTATAACTTAAAATATTTTGTGTTTCCCTTGGACTTTAACTTATTGAGGTTCTACTGTATAATAAATTTTGCATTCACAATGATATTTAATGTTATATTATAGCAATTACTTAAAAACTTAGTAGTGTCCTGTCTCTGGAATCTGAATTGAATTCTTTTCCTTTTTCCTAATGCCTTTGCAATATATGCATGTCATATGTGAATTTCATTATTCTTCACATTTTCATGTAATGTAAAAATAAAATATTTCTTTCAGCTGTTAGGCAGATCATATGAGTGACTAACACTTAAGAAATTGCTTAATTTGAAAGCTAAGGTTAGCTGAACTGTTTAGAGAGGCCACCTGGTTAGTGACAGGTTCAAGTCCTGTCATGGGCACCTAAGACTTGATTTTTAAATTAATTCCGAAATTCCCTTTATATATTGGAGTGAAAAAAATTAACTGAGCTGAGAATGTAAATGAAAATTCAAAGTTAATTAAATTAAGATCAAAACCTATGTGTGTTATCTAATCAGCTGAAGCTGTCTCTCATAGCTTCTTCACTTTATTTACTCCATGCACCATAGTGATATTACATAAAAACTTTTTTACAAAATACTATGTCACTGTTTAAACGCATTTCTTTTCCTCTCAAATGGATGCTTCGATTGAAGTAGAGTTAAGACAGAACATAATGAAAGAATTCTCATTGTAAACACAAACTAAAGTCACAAATCGCATCATAAGTCTATATAACAAATCTGAATCTCTACTGTGGAAGCAAAAGAATTAATTTACTACATCGGCCAATTAATTTATTTTAAGATCAAGTGATATCTAAGCGATCGAATCCCTATTTTATTTATTTAGTGTAGACCCAGATCTCAAGTTAATAATGGCATCGCTTTATTTACAGGAACCTAACCCTGAAGATCCCTTAAATAAGGAAGCCGCGGACGAACTACAAAGCAATAGACGACTGTTTGAACAACACGTACAGAGGGCCATGCGCGGGGGATATGTCGGCTCGTCTTATTTCGAACGATGTCTTAAATGAAACTCGCCACAAATGTATAATACGCCAGCCTATATAAATAAAACAATCTCAATTTATTTTTAAAAAAATTTGATTTAATTTTTTATTTTTGACAGATCCACTTGTTTTTTCATTAGCAGTGGAAATAATGGCATATTATTTATACTTTAAAAAAATTTACTGGGCGTTAAAAATACGCACAGAAAGTCAATGTTCACTGTTGTGCTCCTTTTTGCTGTCTACCAAATAAAATGTTATTCTTTTTGACCTTCATTCCAGAAGCGCCACCCACCATCTTGGATTTAGAAATGGATTCTTGACTTATGATGTCATTAATATAACTAAGTTATGAAATAGGAATAAAGTGGATAAGGATAAATCAAGAAATCATTTCCAAACCAAAGGGGTTGGCGCTGCCAGACAGTCGGACACATTATTGTGTTATTTTGAAAATAACAAGACCTTTTTTACGAAACTTGGATATCTTCTACTAACAAAATTTTCTCGAACTTCTGTATAAGATTTTTTTAAGTTTAGCATACATCATATTTAAACTAACCTGATTTAAAAAGTATGAGGTTTTGTACAAGAAAGGTGCTCTGACTTTATTGTGGTATACCATAAATAATCACTTTTTAATTGGGATTGACTACTCAAAATCAAATCGGAACTTCGTGAGGTAGAAAACTCAGCACGTTCGGTTACACAAAAATCAAAATTCTTCAATTGATTTTAAATCTCAATATATCGAAAGTAGAGTTCAAAATTAATTTCGGAAATTTATAATATAATTGTAGTAATTTGAATTCTTGGTTGGAGCCCTCTAGCATCTAAATAAGAATATACATACTACTTTTAGTTAATTAGAAAACCTTTGCACCAATTAGTTAGTTAGTTAGTTATAAATAATATGAGAATAATCTAAAATGAAATACTGTCTCGGATTTTCTTTTTGTCTATTTTTAATGGGCAAATAGCGCTCGTTGAAAAAATTGATTAGATATAAAAGTATGTAAGTATTTCACATAAGTGCTCATGTTCATTATTAAACACATGTCATGATGGTTGAACCATTAATAAAATGCGATCGAAGATGGTACACGGCTACACGGCAGGTTGCGACAATATGTCAAATTTGCACAATGGATTTTGAACTCTATCCACAATGCATTAGGTTTACAATCGAGTGGAAAAAATTGACAGTTTTGTACCTAACCTGCTGATGACTGTACATCAAAGTTTAATTTGATTTCATGTCAATAGATGGCGTTAACTAGCTTATTCGATGGTACTATTTAATATCATGATAATGTAATATATTTTTCGTATTAATGTTAATCTGTATGTAGCTTTGATACATTTCCTTTTTCTGTATCTTTAGTTGTCAATTTTTTTCCAACCGTTCCTCACCCTGTGACCAGCCTAGTTTTCTATACTTAAATAAATTCAGTGAATTTAGTCACTAGCGCCATCTTGTGGCAATGAAAATGAATGACATATAATTGTTATCTATTCCTTACTAAATACCTATATATTGTCATAATAGCTTACTTTGTTTGAGAGTAGTCTCGAAACTTAAAACCTTAAAAAAGGTTATGAATAAAAAAGATCGAAAATAAAAATCCTTATATCTGTAGCCTAATTGTCGGGAAGCAAAAGTAATATTAATGAATTGAAAACATTTAGAAAATGATAGCATACTGTTATAGTGATAGTCCTGATAAGGGGATTAATACATAAGCATTTTGAGTATGTAAATGAAATGTAATCATAATTTTATAAATTATTAAATGCTACATATTTCGTTACTCATTTTTATCAAAATTTGTTTACCATTTTGTATACTGCAATCGAATTGTGTAGGCACATACAAGACTATCTGTGGGATATACTTTATGCACCAGAATTGAGATACATATAGGGAGGGAATAAGTATTTCTTGGGGAATATACATCTAACAAATGTTGTAAATATAAAACAGGTATGTATATAGGTTGATATATAGTTAAGCGTGTAGCTCAGATAACGCAGAGGTCATTGGTTAAATCCTTCATCCAAACAAAAGCCATGTATTGTCATCTTAAATCGGTTGCATGTCTCCATGCGGGCAAGTGAGCGGCACGAAGGTCAGGGCATCGCGCAACTACTAACTAAACCGACCTCCCCCTTCGTACCGCGCCGAAGTGAGCCGCGAATGGCCCGCGCCTGCCTGCGCGCCGCCAGCCGTCACTCTGCCAGTGCGACCGCGAACGTAGGACGGATTGTTCATACACGTTTATCGAACACGCTTTCTCCACACGACAGCGTGCTCAAGGCAGAGCTGTTTCGACACGCCACTCGATTGCGAAAGTCTGCGCGATGATATACAAGTGAGAGCCGCCTCGAACGCCAGGGTAACGCTCATCGCACACGGTGAGCCAATTTATTGGACTAAAGACATTCGAAACTCGCCAACTGTGAGGGACGGGGGGCGCGCGACGCCGTCGGGTCGCACACGCGGGAGCAACGTATCCACATACTTAACTGTGAGAGCAGCGGAAACCAATTTTTAATGTGTCAAGTCAGTATAGCTTATTGCTGCTACGTCAGATCGCAGAACGCCTCGAGCAGGAACTACAAGGTTATGCAAATGAGTTCTGAACGCTTCTATACCAGGAATAATCAAAAGACCATTCACAACTTTAATAAACTTTAACGTTTAGGTTTTGTCGTACAGTGTTTTTTTCATAGTGCTTATCTGTCAATTTCCCTATCCTCCATTATCTTTCGGTCTCGCGATCGCTAATTGCTAATTACTTATTGTGAGAGTCGAGTGATAACGAGTCTGTGAGTCGGTCGTGTGGGTGTCTGACGTCCGGACTACGAGGCGACGGACCAGCTGACGACGATGTCTGCCCAGGAGGAGACCCTCCTCGCGCGATGCGAGATTCCCATCATCGATCTTGCCCACATAGGTGAGCCAATAAAACCACTGTTATTGTCCTAATTGTAAACTCTCTTCACAATAACAAATAAAAATCTTGCATTACTATACTGGACAAGTTTTCAATCGGGTCTTACATAAATCAAGTTCGGGCAATAAATAGAGTCTTAATTGTGCTCCAGACTACTTTGTTCTGAAACCTCAAAAAGTATAAAAGGCATCTGTACACTTATAAAGCTCTATTGAGAAAGCGAGCATACCAATTGCTGTACAGACAGACTTCTACCTGCGCATCCCCATTGCAGCTAAACCCCGAGCCGACAGCTGCGCAATCATGCTTTATTTGTTGTCATCAAACAACTCTACTACATCCATCTCGCTCTCGGAGTTCAAAGACCGCACACTGGATACTAACCGTTCATCGCAGTTCATCCACCTAATTCCCCTAATAAATGGAAAAATTAATAATACTCATCCAATGATATAATAATAGATTCCATCTCACGCTGGTTTGAGTGAGTAAAGACGAATGCAAACAAAAACCCAAACAAAGGTTTAATTCGAAGAACCGATGAGTAATCTTCAATGTGAGCTGGCCATAGACTGCAAATAGCAGAGATAATCACTTAAATTGAAGGTTTATTTACGTTACATTAACTGTCGTATTCTATACTTTATGGAAACTAATAAACCAATCACAAAAATAGTTTTTTCTTCTAGGTAAAATATATTGAAATTCAATTAACTTGTGCCGATAAATCAGTTTATAACTTCTTAAATTTTACACACCTAAAATCCACTTTACATTGGTAAAAACATAATTAACTGCAGAAACGTTTACACTCTGATGATTTATTTCGGTACGTATCTGCAAACAGTCTATCTTAATGATATCTATAAATAACTAGCTTCGTTTATTTCGTTGTACCAATGTTAATCCTTACAAACATGGCGAAAGCGAAACGTTTAAAAAAGTTTAGCAGAAAACAATTTAACATAATAAGGGCAATGCCCTGCAACGCAGCCCTTTGTGAAACTACCAAGTGTACACGTTAACACTCGTTTCACTTCTAATTTACGACTCCAGAAGTACAATGACAGAGAGACAAATCTCAAAATGTAATCGACCTTAAAAAACATGAATGAAATCCAAAACATAGGTAAGTATCGTTACAGTAATAATTGTCTTTCTTGTAACTTGTTTATCATTTTTGATAAGACTTGTTATCGGCGTGTAAATTAATAATATAATTTATTACACTTTTTTATCAGATACCTACAGCAAAAGCGATGTGAAACTTAACGTCAGGAAAGAAATTTAATTCCGAATTTTTGTAGCTTTCGATTTCAATACGAATAAAAAAAAACATATTAGCATTAATTCAGCTGTTAAATAAAAAAGGGCTATATAACGTCATATTAAAGAAATAGTATCAATTGAGATATCACTAAATAGTACTAATTAATCATAGCATACATATACGGTATTATTAGCCAATCAAAAATAGTTAGAAAATCTGATTTACCGTATGTAATTTATTGTTGTTAAAATATAGTACTTTAACCATCAGAAATAAAGTTCAAAACAAAGAGCTGCGTAATATTTTTCCGGGATATAGTACCTCAATAGTTTTACATAATGGACGAGGTAATTTACGATCCATGCTTAGTTACAAGGAAAGGTTAACTTGTCTTTCAAGGAGGTATGCAAACAAAAAACATGGCTGCCACGCATAAAAACTTCACATTATAACATTAGCTTAGTATCCGTAATTCTACCAATCTCAGTTTTTATATAATAAATTTTCAACAAAATGGTCGGTGCGGATTACGAATTTTTAAAAGTATAACGTTTCTATAAAAAATACATCAAGTAACGAACAAACATCAAATCATTATTGTAGTTTTTCATTATCATAAAACAGTTTAAGCTTAGGCAACCGTGACTCTACCAATTGAATAATAATAATAAATAATAAATAGTTTATTTCCTTAAATTGCATACATATAACAGTAATGTGGCCAGAATCACCCAGGAAGTGCCTAAAAAGCGCTTGTGTCGGGTGGTTCTGCTCCTCCTTAGGAACTTAATAACAAAATAAGGTTTGCTTAGGTTGCTAGACTATTAAACTATTTTATAAAGGTATATTAGAAAATACTAAAAGTGAGAAGTTATATAAAACAATGCAGTGTCTAAAAAATCTCTCAATCTATACCAATCTAGCCCTACGATATCATATATCTTGGGATCGGATAACCACTAGATCTGTAAGTGTATGTGTGTGTGTGTGTGTGTGTGTGTGTGTGTGTGTGTGTGTGTGTGTGTGTGTGTGTGTGTGTGTGTGTGCGGACCCTTATAGTGGGATAAAAATATCCTACAATTTAACTATATCAAAATACATCCCGCGGAAAAGAACAAATTTCAAATCATTAATAGGCTTTTTCATTATAATGTATTTAAATTCGGCATTTACCTGCTTGTAAATGAATCTACCCGTAAGAATAAGTTTTATGATTTGATGCAGAATAAAGGGAAAAAATAAGATAAAAGTAGTTTGGCTTCTGAAACCTCAAAAGAGTTCTTCGTTAGACGAAATATTTCACTCGCAAGTGATGAATGAGCTCGAATGTAGGTCAGCTCGGGTTTCAGACAGTTGTGACTATTCAATTAACTGCGGTGACAGATAATGTACACTCATTATTGTGTAAATGAAAGTGATAATGACACTAAACTCTGGTCACATTGAGGTACAGACACCATGTAAGTGCGACACAGTTTTCTTTGTAGCAGCTTTATCACATGGATCACTATACCATTGATGAATTGCTGGTTATTTCCCTATGATTCATCATTAACATAATATTAGAATATTAACATCAAAGTGTCAGGACACAAACTTTCCCTATGGTCATATAGTGTAAACCTTGGGCTATTGAGTACGTATAGTTTTACGTTAGTTTTGTGATTCACTATTATCTATTGACCTTTGCAAATGTTGCGCAAACTAAACCAATCTCATATGACCTATAAAGCAATACAATACCATTATTGTCAATACACACAAACATATACATAGTATTATTATTTACAACAAGTTTCATTAAAAAGAGATTACGTAAAAACCCCAAGTAGTTCCCCGAAAACTGACCAAGCAAGTAGTTCCCCTAAAACTGACTTAATTTATCATAATAAATTCTTAATAAAACTATAATTAAACCTACTGATATTGAATAACGTTGAATGAAGATCCTCTAAACTTGTTTCTTCTCCATTGGAATACTTGATAACTAGCTATCAAATTACCTATTATCGCGAGATGATTTGTTTGAGACACGGTAAAGTCTAGTTGGGTGATTGCCAATGGTGACTTCTTTTGAACGATATTTCACGTCCAGATAACATATTAACTAAGTTAACAATAGTATCGGTTATGAAAATAAAACCTGGAGAACTTGAACTTACTACTTGAACTATATTTTGTATTAGCCTGGCATAGGTACATAATAAATTTTCTGTATTTTATCTCAAATTTGAACCCATAGGAAATTACCATCTAAAACTTTGATAAAAATTATTACACTATTTTTAAAGTTTTAGTCAATTTTTGAATTTTAAAATCGGTGACAGCTTTTTTTTTCGTGTCTTTAATTGCCATTAAGTGAAGCTATTGTAATTTAAAAATAATTAAGTAGGTAAGTAAAAAATACCTTAATTATCGAATTCATTATACAAACATTAAATATTGAAACTATGTGCCTTAAATAACAATTAGTATTGTTAAGAAATATATGGTGTACCTATAAATCTGAAAGAAAGAATTATTTATTGGACTATGTGATTTACTTTGAATGGTAAATGGAACTATTATCTTTGAAAGAATAAGGCTTACTTGTACATACATCAGATCTATATTAATTGTGTTGAAAAAAGTCAAAGCTAACCATAATAATATCAAAATGTATAACTATATACTATAGATATACACTATAGATATATCTAGTTACTAACACATTTTTCTCATTCGTCTAGTTCTGTAAACTATACCAATATTTATAATCGGAAAGATTTGGTTGTTTGTTTGCACTTGCATAAGGCTTTGAAACGAAAGCCGTTTTAAAAAATTCTTTCACCTACGGGAAGCTCACACGTTAGTGAAGGCTATATGCAATTTTCAAGAGCGAAGTCACGTGAAAATCCTTTAATGGTCAGTTTAAATGCATACCTATCGCGTAATTGAAGCCCTCTTCAGTTACGCAGTAGGCTTGCCGGCAGTGCCGAATTAAGCCAGATCGGGGCCTATAGCAAACAAACCCCCACCTAGAGGCGTGGCTTATTTTATTTCTTGCATTTTTAACACTGACAAAAAAAAATTCTTGGCTCTAAACCATACCGAGGCTCCCAATCGTGCGGGGCCCCCAAAGGCGCTACACCCGTATCATTTGCTACTTTTGCTACGTGGCTAATCCGGCCCTGCCTTATTAAAATGTAATTTATGACAACTGATCGGAACTTTGAAATCACCAGAAACATCCAAGACATTTATGAAATTGATTGAATAGTCGTGCGTGGTTTCACAACGATGTTTCAATATTTTTTACTAAACAATAGGTATAAGCAACTGAAATAACATTACCACTACCAATAACGATTTCGCCATGAATTGACGTCAATGATAAACTTGTCATTTCACAGCTAACACGACTGCGTCTTTAGCAATGAGGAAATACGTAAATTATCCACGCTATATTTGAAATGCGATAGGAAAAACTACTAGATATACCTATTTGCGGCAATCGCATGAGGTTTAACTTCGACGGAATCATGTATACAAGAGTTTATGATTTAGTTACTTTTTCTTGTTTTTTAACCAATGTATACCAAAAAGAAGGTTCCGGGTTATATTCTACTTATATTATTATACTATTATTTGTGTATATCTATATAACTCAAAGGTGACTGAAATAGTGATCTATTAACGCACAGCCCAAACCATTAGACGGATCGGGCTCATATTTGGCATGCAGGTAGAT